CAAGTTTCTGATGCACAAGCTATTGCATTCAACTTCCCACACCAAGCAACGGCACTGAAAAGACAAACATAGGGATCAGAGAAAAATGTTACAAAGATCATTAAACTTGTATGATAAACAAAATATGAGCAAAACACTCAACAGAAAACATCTGACTCATTTTAACATGAGCTGATGAGCAACATAAGTCATAAGACAGATATACAGCCAAATAAAAAATTTCATACTAATAGGACCATTGAATAATTTATAATAACAAATAATAATGATAAGAAATATCAGACAAAGTTATGATATCTACAACACTGAAAAAAACCCTGAAATAAGACTAAAAATGGTAACAGTCACCACTCTCTAAAACTAAAATACATGCTGTCTCATAACCTAGAAAGCAAAAGAAATCTGAGTTTTGAAGAAAAATTAAAACTTTCTAGCATGTAAAACCTCTTATCCATTGCCATTATATAACTGCAATGTTAAGGGAACCGCAGGATTTGTCTTGAAGCTCCTCACTTACTCTTAGCCTTAATACACTAAGAGTAAGGACGAACAAAATCTGCTGGTGTTTTCAACTTCGATCACCAAAGGAATCCTACACAGCTCAAGTTGTGGTAACGAAACAAAATTTCCAGTGAGAAATAGCTTAAATTTTCTAATCAAAGCTCAGAATTTGACCAGCAACTACTAATATACATTGGACCCCATCAAATTTCACAAAAGCAGTAATTCTATTGGCTAATAAAAGAAGGAGATAAAATTGTCACAGTGAATCAAATTTACCTAAAATTGCGACAAAGCTCGGGCACGCTCATCTTATGTTGCAAATTGGAGCGAGGTTGTTTCAGCCTGATACAAAACACAGTAGCAGGACTCATTGAGTCCTCCTCCATTGGGTCGTCGGGTTTCTCAACACTCTCTTCCTCGCTACTAACTGGCTCGGGCTTCTCCGAGCCGGCCGCCTTGGCCACTATTTCCAGAGACTGGCCCACACTCTCCTCCTCGTGGTCCTTATTACCCCCGGAACCCACTTGCTGCTGTTGTTGATTATTCATTTGCCAAATAAAACCCTAACCGCTATATATATATAGAGAGAGAGAGAGAGACAGAGAGAGAGAAAGGTTAAATGAATCTAAGTGGGTGCAAAAGTCGCAACTGAGGGCGACAGGTAACACTGTAGAAAGAGAGAGAGTGGGGTTAGCGTGGGTGTGGGTGTGACTGTGAATGGGTTAAGGGAAATTTAGAAATGAAATTTGGGGAGAGGTGATTTTGGATTTGGCTTTTTAGGGTTTTTGGTGCGATAGAAATCAGATTCCAGGTGTTGTTTGCTGGTGGCGTCGAAAGAAGAGAATTCTTTGGCGTCAGTCGTCACCACTGCCTTTATATTTTAGTATTTGTTTATTACTGAGATGATGTTTCTTCAAGACAAAGAGTCTGCTTGCTTGGTTTCTTCGGGTTTGGCATTCCATCTTCACCTCACTGTTTTTCTTTTTTCTTTCCCTTTTTTTTTTTTTTCTGCTCCCTTTTTTTCTGTCATGTCACTGGAAGGGGAATTGCAGGGAGTTGTCTTGAACCAAATCTATATAAAAATAGGGTTTTTTAAAAAATTATATTCGAACCGATTATACATTAAGATAACCCTTTGTTTTAAATTTTGATTTCTAAATTATAAATTCAAAATAATATTATGAGTTTGATAAATCAGGTTTCTGTTTTTATATATGTTTTCTAAATCAAAATATAACCATCAACATTTTAAAATCATAGCAATCAAATTTATTTTATTTGTTTTTCTTATTAATATTAAGAGTGAAAGGTTATTGTACAATTTATCAAATTATTTCAATCATCTCAATTAATAATAAAAATTGGAATCATAATAATATTTTTTATCCATTTGAGCGGTAAAAAAAAACAATAATAATAATATGGAAGTAAATATTAATTGCATTTAGTATTTATTTTATTTTATTTTAGGAATCATCAATAGAAGTATTTTTTCTGAAGTCATAGTTTGATTTGGGCAATCCAATTACTTAATGACGTTAAATCAATTTAGTCAAATCATGTGAATATGCAAAACACTAAAAATGAAAAGCCTCAAAGAATACCCCGACAAAAGCTTGCAATTGCATTATCGTATTTGATCGGAAAAAAAATTTACTTACCGATGTGATCTGATTAATTTTTTTTTTTGTGAAAAAAAAAAGAAATTTTAAATTCAAATTAAGATGATAATTGTATTATTTTAATTCGTTGAACGTGCAATCCAATACAAGAATTATTTTATCATCCGCGGTCAAAAGCAGTCCCACCATTTCCTATATACCAGCAGCAATTAGTCCTTTCCTATTGTTTGTCAAATGCACAATCATGTCAAAAAAGTTGATCAAATATACATTTTTTTATACTACGATGCTGATAATTCTTAGATAGATCCAAATTGATATCTTGGAAAAATAGAGCACTAGGACAATTGATGTCACCGAAGGTCAATTTATGTTTCCAGAAAGTTTAACTTATGAAACAAGTATGTATATGCAATTGTACACGTGGGTATGTTTTGTTGGCCAATATGAATTATTTTGCAGAGCTGTTGCTTTCAATTATCTACATCACAAACAATTGCTTTCCAAATGAATCATCCTTAACCATTCAAATTTTATTACTCTACGTTGTAGTTTAACACAGAAGTCAAGTGATATTTTAATAACCTCACTCAGGACGGATTAAATATGATACAATTATCCTTTTCACATTTTTTAGAAATTTGAAATTTGAATTATTTCGACCATAAAAATTTCATTCATTCAGTGAATATTATTCGAAAAAAAAAAGATATATTCATAATATAGTTTTACTTTAGTTGGTCTCTCATGAATATATACATACATACGTGCACTTGAAAATTTTTACAATAAAATATTGTTTAAATAGGATAGAGTTTCAAGCTCAATTATTTTGCAAATGTGTTGCAGATCAATTGCTTATGGTGTGGAATAAAATATAGGTTTTTATTAAGATTCGATCCTAAGCATAGCTACAGGTTTAGTTCGGAATATATTTTAAAAATAAAATTATTTCTCCCATTATCCGGATTTACAAATAAAATTAAGCTTATAACGATTCTCTAACATTTTTTACCTTTTTAGTAAGTACGGATCTGAAAAATAGATTTTTATTTTGTTTTTATTTACTATTCCGACCGTGGGGTAATTGATTCAGTAGAATAAAGATATTAGTCAGATTAATGAGAACGCTAGTTTTCAGAATTTGAATAACAAATTTTTGTCTAACTTCTTTGTCTGTTAGTCACGACCCACTGAGAAATGTTAAAATATTTTCAACTTTGTGTATTTTTCTAATTAATTATTTCGTGTTCCATTTAGCTCCATGTATTTTAGTTGGAAGTCTTTGGCATGTTTGAAATGAATTATCATTATTAATTACAAGTTTAAAATAAAAAATAACAACGTGGAAGTTGACAATCTAGAGTCTAATACTGTTTCTAATTCATGTGTGTGGACCAATTGTTCAAATTACATGTGTTTCTTTATAATAATAATAATAATAATTTAAAAAATTATAATAAAATTTAATGTTATAATTATTTGCTAGGATAATATGTAAGAATAATACTACTTATAAAATAATAAAAACCAACTCATCACTGAAATTTGCATGTGAGGTATAAATGATCTAAAAATAGGAAAAATTCATTTATGAATGAGACTACATAATAAAGGTAGTCATTTCATTAATTCATCAAATCGGTGAAAATAACTGTGGTCGAGAAAATTTAAACTCGAGACCTCACTCATTATATAAATAAGAAATCAATTATACTACCACCTAATTAGTCTCACATAAATGAGAAGACCAATTAAAATACTACCTGATTGGTTTATATATAAGTCTCACATAAATGAGAAGACCAATTAAAATAACACAATACCTGATCTGGTTGTATATATATATAATATATATATATATATATAGTATATATAATATATATATTATGTTTCGGTCCTGATATTATATGGTGAAATTTTTTTCTAATTTTAATGATTAAAAAGTATAACCCAAAATTAAGTAAACACTAATTATAAGGCGAAGTATCCGAATGTATTATGCTCAGAATCACATAAGAGTTGACGAAGTGAAATAGGATAATCATTCATGACCCAAATTTCCTGATATCAGTGCTCAACTGCGCAAATATCGTTTTTTTTTTTTAATAACAAAATCATTATCAGAATATTAAAAAATTCATTTTGAAATTTGACATTTCAGCTCCTCTTTGTCGCTAATTGCGTCCAAAAACAATTCGTGTAAAGGACGCTGGTAACTTATTTAATGGTTGTGTAGTTTGTCTGACTTAAATCTTCTTATCAGTAGGTTGTTAAAAAATTATTAAAATAATATGATTCATCTCTCATTTATACACCAGGAATAAAAAATTTTGAATTCAATATATAGAAATTATAAAATCTTAAATTATTAGAATATTGATAATTAAAAGAATGTTTTTAAAACATTAAATAATTATTTTTTACATATTTTTTCTCATATCCAACAATTAAATTTTAAAATATAAACATTTATATAATTTCAAAATTTTTAGTTTCATAATATATAAATTTTTTATATTTTATTAATTAATAGAAAAATGAGTTGTCTGAAAAATATTTTTCAAATAAATTGCTTTTGTATAATCTCATATGATTATTCAGATTAATTTCTAAATAGTTAAATTACATTTTATTTATTTCTATTTCCTAACATTGGCATAATTAAAAAAAAAAAAAGAAACGAATCACGTTGAACGAGTATAATTGATTTTATTAATTATGTTATAAAAAAAAATCCATTAAATTCCAAGAATAAAATATGAATTATGTTATAAAAAAAAATCCATTAAATTCCAAGAATAAAATATGGTCAGCAAAAATACTAAAATGTAATTATGTAATTATACTTAAGAAATAGGGTGTGAACAATGTTTAGACTTTGATTCCAGGCAGCTGGGTTAGTTGGATATCAATCTAGTCTGGCTTCCACGCAAAAGGTCACTTTCTCAAAACAGTAAACAAAAGCTCGCCCGTAAGAAATTACAACTCTCAGACTTTCTCCATTCTCATTCTTAGCCGGGTCAGGACGATCTTACATATAAAATCTCTGTTTCAAACATTAGAAGATAACAAATTCTCGCTCTCCATTTCAGCGCATTAGATAAGAACGATAAGGAGAAATTTACATATACAACTACTGCCTTCCACAGGCGAGGACTCAGAGCTCTTAATCAGCTAGTTTTGTATCGCAGACGAGGTAATTAAGAATTTTTAATTACAATTATTAGTTCACTTCCTGTGATTCTTTTTGCGACTTTAAATTGTTCGTTGCATTACTAATTCGTTCATTAAAGATTAGCTATCTGTTTAATTATTTTTGTTTTTTCAAGATTTTTGAAGTAATTATATATATATATTATAAATATATATATAGAATTGTTGTAGTGATAAATTGTTAATGCTTTAAGCTGAGTTCAGGCAAGCCAAATATATATATATATAGAATTGTTGTAGTGATAAATTGTTTAATGGCTTTAGCTGAGTTCAGCAAGCCAACTTTGGTGTATTGCTATTAATTGTGGAATTAATTGTTCTTGGAAGTTGACTGGTTATTCAATGTTCTAATCTTATCAACCAAAGTATAATTAAGTACATTGAATCTTTGACTTTCTCCCTTGGCTTTCTGTTTTATTTATGGAAGGCATGACTATGTGATCTGGAAGTTAGCGGCAGATAAGTTGAAGGCAGATATGAGGTATTGCTGTTTTGGTACAAAAGAGACTGCTGGAAGGGCTTATGGGGATGCAGATGGTGAGAATTTCTCCTCCTGTTTAAGAATGTTATTGCAGTAGTTTTGAAGTTTGCTTAACTCGATTAAAGAAGAACTGCATACTATAGAGGTTCTAGCTTAATCACTTCTCTGTCTTAAAATACTCTCTCACACACAAACAATTACACGTACATAGGTAATGCCAATTCTGCTGTAGTTTTGTGTAGTAAATATATGTATAAGTTCATATTTTCTGAACAGGCCACTAATTGATAAGCAGAGACAGATAGAAGCTAGTCCTAGATAAGTTAGAAACTAATTGATGTGTAACCTGTATCAAGTTTGTTCATCTATGTTAATATTCTTTACCTGCGGATAACTGAAAGGGTGTTTGATCCTTTCTGGGGATTAAGGTGGAGGGTTTTAGGGATAATATTGGTAGTTGTGGCAAGGGGCTAATGTGGAGAGGTTTTTACTAGTATTGTGATTGTATCAAGAGTTAATTAACATGCAACAGTTGAAGCTGGCCTTTGATTTTGACAATATCATGGCTGTTTCGAAACATTATTTTGTAACATTTAGTGAAGTTGTAAACTGCAATTGTGTTACCTAAGTTTTATTGTACTTTCAGCTACCGGATATTTTGTGTGACTCTCACTTTTATTTTCCTCTTTAACCTTTATCATGCATCACCATATTTTTGGCTTCCTGTTTATAATTTTTTCACATTGTGTATTTCTCATGTTGCTAGGATATTCAACTCGTGATATTAACTATATCTCGTATGATGAACTAAGATCAGCGACAGATAACTTCCATTCAACTAATAAGATTGGACGAGGCGGCTTTGGAACTGTTTACAAGGTGCACATAATTTATAGATGGTTTGACGTGTTAGCCTAATGGAAACTGTTGAACTTGATATCATTAACTTTTTGAATCCACTCGAAATACTACATACCTGCTGCTTTTTTTATTCCCATTATTCCTTATGTAAGTTTGATAGTCATGGTTTGATATATAATTGTCACTATATAGATTTTGAGATTTTCACATTGCTATCTATTATGCGTTTGCTTTAAGCTCATGAACAAAAATTCTTTTGATGTGCAAAAACCATCATTTTAACTAATCCTCTTGTTTGCCATTTTTTGTTCCTTGAACTAGCTGACCATATATATTTATAGTCTGTCTCAAGTTTATAAAGCCTTTTGCTTATTTTATTTTATTTTTATAATATTGATAGGGAACTCTCAGGAGTGGAAGGCAAGTGGCTGTGAAGACTCTTGCTGCTCAATCAAAGCAAGGGGTGCGGGAATTTTTGAATGAGATTGATACTATTTCAAAAGTTAGGCATCCAAACCTTGTTGAGCTGATAGGGTGCTGTGTTCAAGGAACTAACCGGATTTTAGTATATGAATACGTAGAAAATAACAGCCTGGATCGTGCATTGCTAGGTACATATATTAAAAAGTTGTCAGATACTTCTGAACATGGTGGGATTGGAATGGAAGGTGATATTACTTGTTTTGCTTATCTTTGCAGGTCCACGGAATCAATGTATCAAACTGGACTGGAGAAAAAGATCTGCAATTTGCTTGGGTATAGCCAGGGGCCTCGCTTTCCTTCATGAAGAACTTGTCCCCCATATTGTGCATAGAGACATCAAAGCTAGTAATGTACTTCTTGACAAAGACTTTAACCCGAAGATAGGAGACTTTGGGTTGGCTAAACTCTTTCCAGACAACATCACCCATATTAGCACAAGAATAGCAGGAACAACGTATATTGTCCTTAACTTCTATTTGATGATTATTTTGTTGGCATTCATCTCCATAACCAATGAGACTGTTTTTTGTCGATAAGGGGCGAAGTTACTTCTTATAGTTTACTCTAGTCAGGAGTTAATAAAATTTTTTATTCCCACTTAAAATCACCTGCTACAAATTTTCCATTTGTGATTTTTGTCTATTGGAACCTTGAAACTGGCCTTGCCCAAAAGAAAGAAAAAAGTATCCTCCTCTTTGTTAAGGTTGAAATTGAGAATCATTATGCATTTAGGTCGTTAAATAGTAGGAATCATGCATAACAGTTGCAGTATTTTCTAGTCCAAGTAAATGTCATCATAAGTGAAGCAAGAAAAAAAAAAAAATCTAATTTTCCTTCCTCCTCGTGCAGTGGTTATTTAGCACCAGAATATGCATTTGGGGGCCAGTTAACAATGAAGGCTGATGTATACAGTTTTGGGGTTCTTGTGCTTGAAATAATTAGTGGAAGAAGCACCGTGAAAACCAGCTTGGGAGAAACGCAGAAGCTCCTACTAGAATGGGTGCGTTTATTTTCTTCCAAATTTTCAATGTTCTTCGTGGTACCTTCAGAGACATTGCTCTTTTATTCACCAGCTTGTTGGCAATCTTGTTTTGCATCAGCTCATTTTATATGATAGTCCATGGAATAATTGTGGTGGAATGTTCATTATATAGCAGATTTCTCGATCAGAAAATTTACATTTCTGCCAAGTAATGAACATGCTCTTTCATGGTAAGAGATTATAGGCAATTACGTATCTGACAATCATTGTCTGGTTCAATAGGCATGGCAGCTTCACGAAGAAGGAAAACACCTCGAGTTAGTGGATCCAGAGATGGGGGAATTTCCAGAGCAGGAAGTCATTAGGCACATGAAAATTGCCTTTTTCTGCGCTCAGGGAGCAGCAAACCGAAGGCCACTCATGAGCCAGGTCGTTGACATGCTGTCGAAGAACATCCGGCTTAATGAAAAGCTCCTTTCACCACCAGGTTTCTTCCAAGGTTCAGAGGGCCTTAGTGGGCCACCATCTTCAACTAAAAGATCATCTGCTGACTCTACTACCCAACAGATGAGCTCTGTTCCTGTCACAATCACTGAGGTAACCCCTAGATGAAGAATAGTGTTATTTTGCTCTCAAGATGCACATGTTCATGTATTTCATTAATTATATCATGCACAGTACACCATTTCAATCATACACCTATATATTCTTTTTTTTTTTATTTTTAGGGAAAGTGAGCAGTTTTTACCCAATAGAAGTGCGAATTTATAATTTTGTCGAAGTTGATGCAAGTACATTTTCTGTACTATTATTGTACTTAGTTTTTGCTTGTCAAGTTATCGTGATGGCATGGAAATTGTTATATATATATATATATGATGAAAAGAGCTGGAAAAAAAATTGGAAAATAGAAGGAAAGCAGATGCATTTCGTACCTAGTTGATAAAGAAACTTTTTTGGTGCCGTTGACTTTTTGTTAGTGGACAATAGCTCTCCAGACGAAGCCAGACGCGAAAGTTAGGTAGACCAAAGAAAAACTTCCCAGAGTTGGTGGAGTTTAAAAAAAATTCACTGTAACTAAAAAAATTGTGGACTCAGGCCCCGTCCCTGAATGAAGCGGTGTGTGTCGGTGAGGAGATAAGAGTAAAGATATTAATGTGAATAGAGTTGTTTAATCTCCCGAATATGATATTTTTCTGTATATGTGATTATTTAGGTTTCACATTCATGACCTTCTCTTCCTAGTTCCAAGGTAGAACTGAAAGACTGCAAGTTCAATGGGGTTCAATTCATGCCCCCCCACTCAAAGAAATGGATGATCGAATCCTTTCAAGTTAGATTTTGCCGAGCTTTTTTCAGATTAATCGACATAAATCCACGACAATGCCATTTTTTTCTGAGTGAACTTTATTTCTCGATCAGAATATGCAAGATCTTCGTTAAATATAGAGATTCCCTTACGTATGATCCCTCTTATCCCATTTAGTCCCATATTCTTACATAAAGAGGAAACCATAGAGATTCTTTTACGTATGATCCCGTTTACTCCCATTTAGTCCCATATTCTTACATAAAGAGGAAACCATAGAGATTCTTTTACGTATGATCCCGTTTACTCCCATTTAGTCCCATATTCTTACATAAAGACTCCCATTTAGTCCCATATTCTTACATAAAGAGGAAAACACGTATTATCTCATTGGCTTTCCAATAGTTTGCTAAATATACAGCCATTCACAAGCGAAATAGAATGTTTCATTAAAAAAAGAAAAGGAAAAAAAAAATTTAATTGCACGCACCCGACGGCAATTTTCTACTGTTTTCCGTGCGAAGTAGCAAGCAAGCTTTAAGAAAACACAAGCTCATCTAAGAATATCAAAATCCCAGTTTATGCAATATGCCCATAAAAAGAATAATAAAACTCACTGTAAAATCCCCATACAAATATAAGAGACAATCATAGGCCATCGATGGACAAAAACAAGGAATAAGAGAACAAAATCAGAAAAGATTATAGAAAATACTAAGTTGAAAATACAAAGTTGAAAAAGCTAGTGCAACAGAGGTAACGCAATTAGGCAGTTGGTGTTGACTCGGGATCTGTGGCGGCTTGCTCGCCAGTAGGAGGAAGCTCTTCTTTGGGAGGCTGTGATGAACCAATTGAAGTGGCATCTTTAGCAGATGAAGCAGGCTCCTTTACTCCTTCTTTGGCATCTTTTTCAGTTTTCGCTTCTTTTACATCCTTTCCATCTTTGGCGTCCTTTTTAGGTGCAGGTGGAGGCGGCATCATGTGAGGTGGGGGTGTGTGTTTCAGCTTTACAAGTATCTGGCGCATCCTTGAAAGATCAGTAGGTTTTCCAGGCTTTGGGCCCTGGATGACAGTTATTGATGGTTTCTTATCTTGATCCTTCTTGCCTCTCTTCTTCTCAATATTAGGAACCTCGCGAGGAATGAGCTCCGCTATTGCTTTCCAGTACTGTTTGTCTGCTTCTTTATGGAATTTCTCTTGATTGGCTAAGTATAACTGTTCCATACACAATTCCAATATCTAAATTTAGCACCCACTTAAAATACAAAAAATTCTAGCAAATTGGGAAGTCATTAGGAAAATTTTTACCTTCTCCTTTTCTCTGTTAGTAGTTTTGTTGGTCTCCACATTAAGCTTTCTTTTCTCGTAGAAAGCAATTATATACTCCTCAGCTTCTTCAATGATCTGTTTCCTCAGCTCCTTCTCCCTCTTTTCCTTCTCCTCAAGATGAATGGCATTTTGGCTGCCCATAAAAACTAAAGCATGAGAAATCATATATTTAATAGACAAAAATCTAATGACAAATCTTCGCATATACCTGCTATATATCAGCATACAGATAGTAATAAGATAAAACACAGGATATCAAATACCCAAACAAATCAAGCATGGTGGCAACTTGAGACAGAGATATTCCAGGGGTTAAGTCCAACTTAATTGGAGTAGTTGCAAAAAACCTTAGACCTAGAAATATCCTAATAAATCCATGAGCAAAAGAAGTTAATCATCATAGTTAGGCAATAAAAGGCACATCGGTGATTTCTAGCCTAGGATTAAAACATAGCAAATTGCAGCATTTAATATCTACAGGTCTAAAACTCAGTTGAAATAAATTTTCCTTTTCTTTTTTTCTTTTTTTGGAAAGGCAGTTGAAATCAATTCAACCATCAGGACACAACTGAATTCCAATTTCACACCAACTCAGATGCCTAAAGTATTTGATGTTTTATAGACCCCATATCATAGCAAGTTACGCACACAGACATTTACACTATCTTCCAATGAATCCTCATCCCATAATTTTAACTTGAGATTTTATGATGGAGATCCCACGTCTACGCTAAATTGTCTACTATACAGAGAGAGAAAAAAATTCATCACTTCAAAATGTAGACGCATGGATTGAAAATCCCTTGGCAGAACTGGGAGTATCAATCTTTAGCGGACAAAGAAGATCAGCACACTGAATCACGAAGTTGCTCCGTGGATCTTCTTATCTGCTCTGACTCATGCAAACACTAGCAAATCAGCCTAATAGATCCCATTAAATTATGTTCCTCATTATCAGAAAAATTCTATGAAACGGATCGCTACATGAAATTCCAATACTGCATTTATTTAACCCAGAAGTCGAAGAATGCCACGCTGAAAAGTACTTCAGTGTATATCTTACAACTTATAACGTAGAATCTACTCACCGACTAAAAATGAATCACGGATCTCCGCAAGTTCATAACAAAAAACATCAGATCTAAGGCTAAAGAAACAGAGATCAAACAGTTCAAAAGCCTCACCGCCGCCACTCGCGAAGGGCATAACCTTCCTCGGGTTCCATCTCGGTAGGTGGAGGAAGCACCGGTCCATCCGATGCAAAAACATCATCTCCAGCTACATTATAGCCGTTGCCGTTGCCGTTCTCAACATGGATCGGGCTAAATGGACTCTGTGAATAGCTAGGATTCGGATCCACATCAGCAGAGGAAGATCCAAATCCAAAAATATCAGGAGAAGAGGCGGGGACGTGATCAACGGAGACATCTCCACCAGGAAAGTCACCGGAGCCGGTGGGAGTGAAGTTAGAGTAGGAACCGAAGTTGGCGTAGGTCTCGTCTTCCTCTTCTTCAAAGGATCTGGTGATCAACGGAGACATCTCCACCAGGAAAGTCACCGGAGCCGGTGGGAGTGAAGTTAGAGTAGGAACCGAAGTTGGCGTAGGTCTCGTCTTCCTCTTCTTCAAAGGATCTGTGATTGGAAGTGTGAATCTCCTCACCGTCGATGCCAAAGGAATCGAAAGAAGCCATTTGAACTTTTGTTTCTCCGACCTAAGATTTTTCTTTCTCTCGCTTTCTAGAAATGTAAAGAGTCCTGTAAACGGAGGTTTGTTTTCCTGTGAAGCAGCATTCAAACTTAGACGGGAAGAGTTGCTTTAATGCCTTTTTTTGACCTTTTTATATACTTACCGGTGTCGCTGACACCAGAAAGGAAAGGTTAAAGAAAAAATGAGGAAGGAGTGGATTTTACTGTTACTTTTTACCATTTACCGTCAAGTGACCTGAAAAACGACGTTGTTTTCGGAATTTGATAGATTCTTGCCTGGTATATAGCAACATTGTTCTATTTCCTCTTTTTTTCAATTTTCAAGTTGAAAAACAAATTCTAATATGTATTTATAATTGTTGTAGTAATTTCCATTTTTTAAATTCACAACAGAATAAAAAGGTTCCCATTTTTAAATTTATATCAAAATAATGGCCAGTTGGATAAATCCAATTGGAAATAGAAGCAGAGGCATCGTATTTCAAATGCCAAAGCATTCATATATACCAGAAGGAGAAGAAACGATTCATATCATTCTTTGATTGTTTCCCTCCTTTCAATTAAGCTAAACCATTAAAAAAAAAAAAAAATCAAAGGTAATTTGCGGAATTTTATATGGTGCTATTAGACCCATATTTAGTATATTTTATTCACTAATTTTGATTAATTTCAAATTATAGTGCAATTGTGACTAAAAATTACAATTAGAATGTTTAAGAGGTCAAATTGAATTTGGGGTGCAATTATTTGAAGACCAAAATTTGGAAATTTTTTTAATGATTTAGCCTTTAATCTAATTAAAGGCAATAATAAGTTTGAAGGCAATTTTATCCTCCAAATAGCTTTTCAAAGAAGCATTCTTCAACTCACACACTAAACTCGCTTCTTTATCAAGTAAAATAACTAGGTATTTCTGGTTTTCCGAGTTTTTTGCTTTTGCATTTTCCCATTTAAGGGTGACAAACCAGACTTCCACAACGATAGAAGTCGAACAATCCACAACTACGGAGTTGAAAATTTTTTTTAACCATTTAACCACTGAAAAACTGTATTACATTTGCTATGTCAAAGTCAGTATGCAGCTTCACCTTGTCACATGGACAACACCGAATGGAACCGGTTGATTAGCATAGAATTATACCGTCAATGGTCAGTATATGTAGACATCCTGAGGACCAGCCAGAAGCTGCTCTTGATCCCCTCCATTTCTGTTTCCGCTTAGAACTATGAACAATATTAACAATCCGAACCAAGTTGAACCTCACAAGGCACTTGCAGCATCAACCACACAAAAAAATTGGGGATACATAGCACCGGCTTTCTTTGGCACATCAAATTGATCATATCACAGGCATTTCGACTGCGGCATTCAACAAGGTGAGACGAAAGTGACTTGAAATCCACAGATATGAACTTCGTAGGAAGCAGTCACTAGGCAAAATCTGCAGTAAGGTTGGAGTTCGACTTGGCTTCATTTCACGCAGAAGTCTCAATTGCTAAAAGTCAACTGTTAGTTCCAGATTAAATAGCCTGCAGTCCTCTATATCAAAGTGGAACAAGAAAGGTACATGGTCTTCAAGGAACAGGAGGAGCATTCTTGGGATATCTGGTAGAAGAAGGCAGGTCTTCAAGGAACAGGAGGAGCATTCTTGGGATATCTGGTAGAAGAAGGCATCCGCTGCAGACCTCGTGGGAACTCTGGCTTTAGACGTTTATTTGACATCCCTTGCGTCGGCCTTATCCACATTAGCAAAAGTACAAAATAAGATGGGAATGAGAGAAAAGAAAATGAGAAACTGTAAACGCAAGTCCATACAAATGATTTGGGGTCTGCACTAGGAAAATCATAAATGTGAAAATTTTAGTTGCTACCCAATGATAAAATTATAAACTTTGTAACTTTCAGGCAAAGATGAATGCCTACTATTGTATGTGTTTTTGGCATGATTGATTATCCTCTCTAAAATATGTTGAGTCAACAGTTAAAATTTCAAAAGTTAGAATGCCCTTTTGTATAGTTTGTTTCCAAAAATCTGACAGAGAGACAAAGAGTCAGACAGGATCACCATCAGTCTATCTCATCTGTTATGATATTGAGTAACCTTTTGCAAATCTGACAGGCGATATCTTTTTTCATGTCTCAATAATTAACATAGAAAGCAGGGGAAGAACTAATTATTCAACATAATCTATGTGAAATTACAGACCTTGGGGAACCCTGACGTTTTGGTGTAAATTGCCCAAACATTGTTCGTAGACTTCCAAGGGCCCTTTCAGCTGCCTGAGGAAAACACCCAAGAGCTCAAAAAGATATAATTCAGGTCTACAAGGATTTAAACAAGAAGAAAGCACAAAAGAAGTTTTCGAATATGATAGAAGAGATACCTGCATTTTAGCCTCATCCCATGTTGACCCAATTCCCTTCCCCATAACCTGTCCATCTATTTCAACCTAAAAGAATCAAAAAACAAAGTTACTTTACAATATGGAATAAGAACAGAAAGTCAACTATTAAGCTTTTTATATATATCTTTTTATATATATATATATATATAATTATATATATATTTATATAACAAAAAGTATATATAACAAAAAGGGAAGAACTGAACGTCTGATGATCCTATCACTTCTATTTATAGCTCTTAGAACGCTCACCAGGAAACAACAATGTCTAGGTTAGCTTGAACTCAGACAAACAATCTTGACCTTCATTTGTCAAATTCTCACTTAATTTCTGTGCAGGGTCTTTAAACCATTAACTCATTGCAGATATAACTAACCACCCAGCCATCGAGGGAATAATTATACAAACTAGATGTTCAAAGTGAAGTTTGGGACAGGTATAATTTTCAATACGTAAAGCCAAGCTCAACACTATTCTGGTTCCAAATTTTAGTCACAAAGAACACTACTATTAAAAATAGGAAACCATGTTATTTCCCCCCCAAAATCATTGATCAAGTTCCCTCAAGAAGAAGAAAGTTGAACAAAAACTGTTCTGCAACTTACTTAACTAGAATGGTCAAAATAATCACCTAAGAAGATAGGTATATTAGAAGTATTAAACCAAACAACTATTTCAAATGCAAACCTGTGCATATACTTCATCTTTCTGTAATGAATTAGATGAGAGCGGTGTCGGTGAGAGAAAATTTAATCCAAGGCCTTCCATCATGCACTGAAACAATAAAATATCAATACATAGCGAATCAAAAATCAGAAAACAACAATAAAGACACATCATTTCCTTGGAACTTACAAATTCTTTGAGTGCAGTAACAGAACCCACTGCTTTCTTAGAGCTGTCCAGCCTTGGATCCGGAAGCCTTAATTGTTCAGAGGCAGCAGAAGATGAGACAGGCTCATCTTTGGGTAGTGGCTGACTCCCAAACGAATTTACATTACCCAGATAACCGTTGTCATTTGCACTAGAATATCTGCTTGCATCCCCATGCATAGCCCCATTATCAGGTTTAGCACGTTGCATATATATGTCTGAAAAAAAAAAAAAATTCAAAATTGTCATTATCATGCAGAAATGCTAAGAGAGAACTTTCCATCATGACAAGAATTTGAGGATGAAGGTTAAGAAAATTGCCTCGATGAAACACTGTACAATATTTATGCTAAAGCTAATATTAAGTCATATGACAAGTTCAAGATATTTAGTATGTCGACATGGAATTGGCTCGAATTGGACCTCTGACTTAGAGCCTAAGGCTCCACTTGACAACCCAAGATGCTGACAATCAACATAAGGAGTTCCATCCAGTGAGCATAATTGACAAAAGGTATAATCAATGATTTAATATTTGTCAAGTATGAATTCTACAGGCCCAAGGTTAGTTGAGCAGTTGCCTAGTACATTGGATAGGCACAACACACTCTGGACAATGGTAGAAAAGCTAACAATAAGTAACTAGACTATATCCTGACACGGTATGCTGGCAAAAGCACGCCGTAATGAGGAAACTTACTAGCCAAATTCTTAATAGAACTCTCTGCTGCAAGACGTTGGGCTTCCCTTCTTGTCTTACCAATTCCTTCACCTACTCTTTCTCCTGCAAACCAAGCCTGCGAAAGTAATGAATGGGATAAGTAGCTGTGCCAATCCCTCCAACACCACACCCCCCCCCCCCCCCCCAGGAAATGGGTAATAGGGATAAGAGTAGCCTGTGCCAAATCCCTCCAACACCACAACCGCACACCCCCCCCCCATATCAGGATTATCTTTTTTTATTTGTTTCCAAAAAAAAAAAAAAGGAAAAAGTGGTGACCTACGTAGCACCCCCAGAAAGGACTCCCCCGTTCCTTTAAAAACAATTAAGGTCAGACGACAGGAATTGTAAATTTTTCAAATTCCTTGCTGATTTGCAGCGTAAGTGAAAACTAGTTTCTGCTTGCAAGGTAGCAGTAACCCGCAGCTTATGCATGTGTTTCTAGGCACACATTTGTAAGTTGTTTATTTGGCCAAGCCCCATGAGGCCTCCAGGCATATGGGCAGTTTAGTTTCAATATATTTTTTTATTAGTATAACGTCATGTGGGTGAAGGTGATACATCGATGTGTATGTTTTCTCTTCTGTTACCGATAGAAAAGCATAGGTATATATCATTGCATTATACCATAACCTGTGAAATTACACCAATTCCGTGCTCAGATAAAATGATTAAGAATCCCGGGTATTCCAGTTGCAAAGTTTCGTTAATAGGAAGCCAAACCCCACCATAAACAAGTCATGAGTGCATGTACAGTTATTTGAATTGAAAAGTTAGTAGACACTTCTATCTTTACTCGAATGGTAAATCATGAATGAAAAACAAAAAAATGAAGGCCAAAAGATGTGGTGAAAACCTCAGTGGAAAAAACTGCAGATCTCTTGCTATCGAACCAATCGAAGCCCTGAATTCCACCTGTAAGTTCACATTCAAGATTATATGCATATACATTCAAAGAAAAAGGGAGTGTTTTAATAAGTAATAATTGGAAGATAAGGATATAGTAATCTATGAATTACTGGCGCCTGGTTTTGTTGTCTTTAAATGGCAATTTTTCCTCATTACCTTGGCTCCACTCAGCATCGCAATATTCCCTTGTAATGCTTCGACTGGAGTTTCTGCAACTTGAGAACAGCCTCTTTCAGATTCCAATAAGACTCTCAGGAGGGACCCTGTTGCTGGCAAGATGATTCGGACTTAATGGGATGATTAGTATTTTCCTCCACCTATCTAAAAGTAGGAGAGAGTGAGAAGAAAAAAAAGGAAAAACAAATAACACCAGTTTTAATGTTAGTAACAAAGATAAATTGAGAGCGCCATAAACTCCACAAGAACGCAACCGAGGGTGGGGAGGACAGTACTTCACAAATATACAAAATATTTTTCCGAAACAAGCTAATGCAGAAATAAATCAGACATAGCCCAAAACCATAAAAAACCAAAAGGCCCTTCCATTTCAGCCATATGAAAATTAAAATTTCAGAAGATGTTCATAAGGAATGAGAAGCCCAGTTTGTTTTTACTTACATTGGAGCCTCCAATCCTTCATAAAGCATTATGCGCAGCAGAAAATAAGAGTGTTACAAAATTGGGCTTTTTGCAGTACCGCCGCTATCAAATAACTGATAACACACCAATACAGGAGCTGAAATAACATTGTGGAGCTCAATTCTTAATTGCAAAAATGGCACAGATGGAGTTTGACATATTATAGCTTGGTGTCTCTTGCATTCACATCCCCTGAGAGAGGAGCCGTAATTTTGCCATTGTCATGATTATTCGACCTCCCAAGTCGATCATTCCACTCGATAAGGTTGCCTGCAACTCAAAAGGGCATTCACTTAAAGGGCTGGGTAACCGTTTTACCTCTACGTCACCTTTCAAACATAAAAATTTTAAGGGTCAGAATAACAAAGAGAACATGTACCCCGCTTTTGGCAAATCTAGATTCTCATTAACCATTCCCATTCTATCAGATGAAATGGTGATTCCCCCCCCAAAATTTCTTTTTTTATTTTTTCAAAAAAAAAAAAAAGGAAAAAGTGACCTATACCACCCCCAGAAAAGGACTCCCCCCTTTTTTAAAACAAATTAAGCAGGACAGAATTGTAAATTTTTCAAATTCCTTGCTGATTTGCAGCGTAAGTGAAAACTAGTTTCTGCTCAAGGTAGCAGTACGCACTATGCATGTGTTTCTAGCACACATTTGTAAGTTGTTATTTGGCCAAGCTCCATGACCTACTATGCAGTTTAGTTTCAATATATTTTTTTATTAGTATATGATTCGATGTGTATGTTCTCTTCGTTACCAATAGCAAAAGCATAGGTTTATCATTATAATAATTGTGAAATTACACCAATTCCTCTCAGATAAAAATGATAAGAATCCGGGTATTCAGTTCAAGTTTCGTTATGAGCCAACCCACCATAACAAATCATAGTGCATGTCAGTTATTTGATTGAAAAAGTAGAAACTTCATCTTTACTGATGGTAATATGAAAATGAAAAAACAAAAAATGAAGCCAAAGAGTGTGGAAAACCTCAGTGGAAAACTGCAGATCTCTGCTATCAACCAATGAAGCCCTGAATTCCACCTGTAAGTTCACATTCAAAATTATATGCATATACATTCAAGAAAAGGAGTGTTTATAAGTAATAATGGAAGATAAGGATATAGTATCTATGAATTACTGGCCCTGGTTTGTTGTCTTTAAATGCAATTTTTCCTCATTACCTTGGCTCCACACTTCATCGCAATTTCCTGTAATGCTTCGACTGGAGTTTCTGCACTTGAGACAGCTCTTTCAGATTCAAAATCAGGATCCCTGTTGCTGGAAGATGATCGACTTAATGGAATTTCCTCCCCTTCAAGAGGAAAAAAAAAAAAAAACAAATAACACCAGTTTAATGTTAGTACAAGATAAATTGAGCGCCATAAACTCACAGAACGCAAACCGAGGGTGGGGAGGACAGTACTTCACAAATAACAAAATATTTTTGAAAGCTAATGCAAAATAATCAGACAAGAAAATAAAAAAACCAAAAGGCTTCCATTCAGATCTGAATTAAAATTCAGAAGATGTTCATAAGGAATGAGAAGCAGTTTGTTTTATTACATTAGCCTCAATTCATAAAGCATTATGCCAGCAGAATAAGAGTGTTTAAATTGGCTTTGCAGTACCCATATCAAATACTGATACACCAATACAGGAGGCTGAAATAACATTGTGGAGCTCAATCTTGCAAATGGCACAGATGGAGTTTGACATATATGCTTTTGTCTCATTGCTCACCTGAGAGAGGATGGTAATTTGCCATTGTATGGTTCGACCTCAATCGATCATCTCGATAAGGTGCCTGCAACTCAAAAGGCATTATTAAGGACTGGTAACGTTACCCTTTCAACATAAAAATTTAAGGGTCAGAATAACAAAGAGAACATGTACCGCTTTTGGCAATCTTAGATTCTCATTAACCATTCCCATTCTATCAGATGAAATGGGATTCTCAACCTTTGGGAAAAAGGACGGATGATGAGGTTGATGCTTTTCAATGTGCATTGGTTCCAATTCCAAAGGAAATTCTCTTGGTACTGTTAGATTCAGTTGCCTAGGGCTCATTTCTTCTTCCACTGGAACCCAACTTCCACGAGATTGCACACGTGGAACTGAAACTTGCATCGATGGTCTTACAGGAATCTGCGATTCACTTGATACATTATCTCTTGTATCTTGCCCATGTTGCAATATAAGAAGCCGCCTCCTTGTATCCGGATCTAATTCTGATTCTGGTACCTCGCCCTCTTCTCTAGCAGGAGAACTTTGTAAGCTTGGCTCTGGAGGACCAACCTGAGCCAATGGCTTAACTAATGAAGCTGCCTGAGGGAACTGGATGTTTGAAAAAGGCATCACCAATGGCTGTGATGTTGAAACAGGAATCGAACTCGAAGAAGATGCCAGTGAATACTGAAGAGCAGGAATAACCCTTGGATCTAAGTTGTTGACAGTTGCAGGGAACAGTGAAGCAGCTGAAATTGCTTCCTGAATAAAAGAAAAGGGTTAAAAAGTTAAAATTACATGTAGATGTAAGCATGTCCAACTACCACAATTCACCATCAACACTCCAGTGGACCTTTACTAATTCACTATGAATATAGAAGATATTGTTGTGATGAATTTACACAAAATAAATACAAATATCAACTTGGCGCAAATCTACCTTTAGTCGTTTTTCGACCTCAGCATCCGCCATTCCATCAAAAGAAAGTGGATCTCTGTGTCCATTTGAAGTAGAAGCATCATCCTAAATGGCACAAAAGTCATACTTGTAAACAAACATCACGGTATAGGTAGGAGATAAGGAGAAGATTTTACCCTAGGTCTATCACAAAAACATAGATTAGGAGGTTATCAACATAATTCCTAATACCGAGAATATCAACTAACCTCTGAAATTAAATAACTGCTCACATCAGGAGGAGATGGAATGTCATTAAAATCATCTTCATATGAAATATCAGGTATCCTTTGAAGAAGACCCTCATCAAATTCTCTGTTAAATCATAATCAATTATGTCATTCCCAAAGAATATCATATGCATGAAAAAATTAGAGAAGAAAATAGTATATAAGTTCCAATAGTAAGAATAAATAGATTAGTCCAGCTTCCAAATGACAAAAAGAGAGAGAGAAAAAAAAAAAAAAAAACAAGCTCTTAGGGTTACATTCTTACTTGAAAAAACCACCTCTAACATTGCATGCAACATTTCTGGCAACACATAATACAGGAACAGCATTATTTGCCTACAATATAAAGAAATATTTAGAGTCCCAAATAGTATGAGTTATTGCTATATTTCAGTTTCCAACCACACAATAAAATGCAAAAAGTTTATACTTCCGCTTGTGGAGCATAGTATGGAGCAAATGCAGGAACAACATGCACCCGGGGTTGATCTTTCTCATCCCACACTTTTAAACGGTCATCAATCACCAATGCCATCTTAGGATGGCAAACTCCATCTTGAAAAACATTGAACAATGACTTCCTCAAACCTGTAAATAACCAAGAAACTAAGTACTGGCAGAATTTACATTGTCACCAAATAGGTCGAATCACTGAGTACAGACATTGATAGTCCAACTTAACAGCCAGATGGAAGAAATGAAAGCCGTCTCTAGCTGGATCACATCACTTACCAGACTTGACACACACAATCCGGTCCAACAATTCTTTTGAGCTTATTAAATTTGACTCTGGATCAAGAAGCCTCCACATTTCTAAAGCATAATCTCGTTCAGCCATTGTACAAACATAAACCTCAAAACGCTTGCGCCCTCTAGCAGTCAAGTAACTCCTGAGATCTTCCCATGCAGGTCTCAACCTCACAAGAACACTGGTATCACGAATCTGCAACACAAAAGAGTTATTTGAAAATTGGATGAAAATCAATGCATGTGCATGATACAAACTAAAACGCGAATATATGTGTGTCAGAACCATGCAGTCGAACCCACTAAAAGACGTTACACAAAATTCTGCAAGCATAACATAGTATAGTAGGCTCTAACATATTATCACAAAACTACTGTTGTATCAATATATGTGTACATGACAGTTGAAATAAAAACCCATGCTAAAATACCAAACAAAACTTAACACCTGATACAGTGTGATTAAAAACACTAGTGCAAAAGAACTCTAAATCCATGATTGAAGCTAGTCTTACTCTGAGATTCATTAAGCCCATACCTGGGGGTTGATGCGTGTCAAAATAATATTCCTCTCCTGTAATCGTATCAATGGACGCACTATGGTTTGATGGTTATCAGACAAAGCTGGGACAACCTCGAACTGGGTTTTGATCACCCTTCCATTTTCAATAACCTGATCATTTTCCACATATTGCTTCAAAATAGTCTTGTCATCTTGATAGCGCTTGACCTCTGATAGCATACCAGCAATACGTTGTGGGTCCACCTCAGTGTTTATTTTCCGCTGCAAAGCCTCAATTCTATCTTCAAATGAGCGCATTGTGTTTGCAACTATGAGAGTCTCATCAAGATCAAACACAATGCCAAGACATCTGAGGTTCAGCATAACCAGACAAGAATTGTAAAGCCCTGCTGAGACATTGAAACCCCAGAAGCATGGATACTGCCTTTCATTATTTCTAGAATAAATTGCCACCAAATGGAGCTCTTCTCCTCCGAGTGGCACTACCGCAGTCTGGAGACACCATGAGCTAATCACAATTACTATCAATAAAAAAGAGAGAGAGAGAGAGAGAAAGAGAGAGATGCATTTGCATGAACATGAACAGACATGATAAGAAGAATAGGCATTACAAAGAACAAGAGAATCATTTGAAAAGACAGAAGCATAACAATTATCAGAACTCATGTTTCAAATTACAAATCACAGACAAATTACAAAAATCTCCATTAATATCCATGTCATAAGTCATATTTCCTGGAATTTAAGACTAGACCAAATCCAATAGGGCAATAACAGAAAAAGCTTTCATGCAAAAAGCATTTAGCGTCCATTTCAATTCTAACAGCATACTCTGCACAATGAGACATGGACCAGCAATTCGATCTCCATGTATCATTCAGCTCAAAGTCCCACAGGTAAGCAACAATATCATAGAAACTTTATGGAGTTTAAGGCTCTGCATTCTTTCAGCATTTTTCATCTAAAAACCCTAATTTTCCTGTAAAAGAAAATATTCTTCAGCAGACTGGTAAGACGGAGTTGTCCTGCTTACTTGCATGACAGTTCCATGAAGTCATTCATGAAATTGTAAATTTCTGGCAGTTCTCATGAACTTAGATTAGAAGTTCTACGAATAGCTTCACCAAAATTATCGATGTATATATATGTATTAATATATATATTAAAAACAAAGTTCAGAACCAAATTAATTAAGTTCAATGAGTTCTTAGAAATTTATGGATCAGTGGGAAATTGTAAAAAAAAAAAACATTCAAATTCAAATGGGCACTTGTCCATAGTCCAGAGTCCCCTTTGCAACAAACTGAACTGGGTAAAGTTTGGAAATTTAAAGTTCCGTAGTCTGGATACTTATTTCATTGCTTTTCTTTTTAGATTAGATTGTGGCAGGTCCTTTAAAATTAGTTGGTGTGCTTTAATGCGATACCTTGTTTTCTTGGATACAGGAGGAGTGCAAAAGATGAAGCGGCGTGTCAAGAGAGAGCGAGTTCTTGGACTCCATTTTGAAGCACATCCCACATGTAATGGTATGTAGCACTGCCAGTGGAGGACACCTCTCACTGGGTTGAGAGAAGTGGCTTATTCTGATTTCCTTCCCCATCAAAATTTCATCAATGAGTTTCTTCTTGTTGTTCTCTTCTTCTTGTTGTTGGTGTTGCTGTGGATATATTTCTACTTCTCCCAGCAACTCCTCCCCCTTATAAACCGCCGATTTATACATCGTCCAAAATTCTATCATCAAAGTCAAAATCTCCGGTATTTATCTTCAAATTTTCAGCTTTTCAATATCATCAAAATCCATTAGATTGATCCAGTTTTTGTGAAATTAAACGAGGCCGAGAGAAAATAACAAAAGAAAAATCAAATTTATGGATCTTGTTTGCTCAGATTTTAAGAAAATAGATAGATCTATAAATTGAGATGATCCAAATCCAATCCCTAAAAACAACAACGATCTATCGATAAGTGATATGCTCTTTTTGATTGATTGATCGATAGACAGATTTACCAGTCAAGCAATATAAGCGAAAGATGGTGCTAGCTAGGGTTTGTATTTTGATTGGTTTTTGTGTCTAAAATTTCTCTTTTGATGATGGCAGAGAACGAGTCTCAAAAAAGGAGGAAACCCTAGATCCAGATTGCGAAAGGTCAAAAAAAGTACTCCACTGCGTAATGGTTGATTTGATAATACTAAAAAATTCAAAAATATATTGTAAGGTGAAAAACCAAAACTTAACCACTTTAAACCTTTCCTTCAATCATCTAATTACAGATTTTTTTTGTCAAAATCAGTAAATTTTTTCATTTATATAATTTTGTATCTTCCTATTTTAATCAAGACTACGTAATATGTGGTCTCTAAAACTCTGACGTGTTAAATACAGAAGGAAAAGATTCTTTTTCTTTTTCATTTTTTGTAATCGACATACCATAATTTCTTTTTTTTTTAAGGTTCTAAATATGAACTTTTTTTTAATAAAAAATTTCTATTCAAAAAAAGATACCGTTTGTGAAATTTGAAAAAATCCGAAATATTCTTAATCATTGATAATTGATTTAATAATGATATTATTAAATAAACTAAGATTTTAATTATTTTTATTAATAGATTAAAAAATGAGGCTATTATCCTACCATTTTAGCAAATTATCCTAATTAATGAAATTAATAATTTTTAATAATTGATTAATAAAACTAATATTACTATTTTAACATATTATTCTAATTAAGTCTTTTAATAATTGATTAATTAGAATAAATTTTGATAAATAAAATGAATGATATTTCATATATACAAATAGAAAAGATAACAAAGAGAAAAAAATTTTAAAATATAAATAGTGATAAATTCACGAAGAGTTTATAATGGTCGCAAGTTATTTTACAAATTGATTACTACTTATTTTTTAGCATTGATTGACCAAACCTAAATAAGTTCGTGTTACATATTTTTCAATTTCAAAAAGTATCTTAAGATAATTTAAACATGGAAAATAAAAAATAATTTTATAAATAAAAAATACAAAACAAATAGCTAAAAAAAACATTAAACAACATAATACAATCAGGAAATAAAAAAAATCAAATTTTAAATTTTATTTTCATCATTAAAATTATCAAACTAATTGTCTAACATGGCATGAGTTAAATATAATTTTTTTATTGAGAATAGTAAAATTTTATTTGTTAACTATTTCTAATAAAATTTAAAATCATACTATTAAAAGGTTGTAATTCGTAGTTGTTGAAGCAAATATTTTCAAATAAATTATAAAAATCCTTTAATTCACAACTATTAAAAAAAAAAACTCACTTTAAACACAATTAATTATTTAATTCATAAAGTTTATTAAATTCAATTAGTTATTCTTCAATCAAGTTAACAATTTTATTAATTATTTTCTATTAAATTCTAATTTCTTTTATTCATGCATTATTAATTATTTTCGGTTTATGTATTAATTCCTAATTTAGCTAAGTCCGAACTTCTAATTGAGCTATTAAAATCCATATTTATATTATACATCATGTTTGAAAATTCAACTATTGAATTAAAATGCTAAAAATCACACATACTTGTTTTTATATCTAACTAACAAAATCATTTCTATTTTGTTTTTTATGTGCAATTTCTGATTTTGAATTTCAAAAAATGTTTTTATGCGCAATAACTGGGCTATACACGGCCCAGACAGTGATTCTCGCATCATCGTACTCGCACCTCACCTACGAGCTCAAATTCTCAAAATGACCAAACTACCCGCAATAATAAAAAAATAAATAAAAGAAAACATTGAATTTCACAAACAAAAGTCCGGATCCAATCCAAACCCAAATCCATATCAGAAAAATCACCCACTTAACCAACAAACGGCCTCCATGCTCCTTCGCTTCCCTGTCTCCCGTTGTCCTAAAGCCCACCTTCTTCAGCTTGACACCTCCATGGTTTTGTATTACCAGTGATAAGAGATTTGAAATTTTTTCCCCAAAAAGCCCCTTTATTTTCCAGCAATGCCAAATTCAATCCTATACTTATCCTGATAAACGAAACAAAATTCAAATATGATTGTTAGAACGTATGGTCGCCGAAACCGGGGCTTAACAAGAACCTATTCCGATACCATAGACGACAACGTTTCCGACCATTCATTCAAGGACGACTTTTCTCTTTCCCAAGAAAACCCATCTCAAGATTTCTATAGTTTACCTTTCTCTTCTCAAGAATCTTCCTCTCTCTGGCCTTCCTTCGATCCCGATCCATATAGCTTCAATTCTTCCCAAGGAGGTACTTTGTCAAATGGTGTTGCTTCAAGAAAGTCGAAGAAACCGAGAAATGGCAAATTGCAAAAACCCGCCCGCAAGAATATTAATTCTAGGTCTTTGGTTCCAGTGACTTCGACTTTAATGGAGGCGCAGGAGTTTGGGGAGATGATGGAGCATGTTGATGAGGTTAATTTTGCGCTTGATGGGCTGAGGAAAGGACAGCCTGTTAGGATCAGGAGGGCCAGTTTGTTGTCTCTCTTGTCGATTTGCGGCACTGCACATCAGCGGCGGCTCTTGAGGACTCAGGGGTATGCGGGTGTATTCAATTTTGAATAATATTGATGGGTTTTGGGTTTAAACATTGACATAGTGTTGCTGTAATTTTAGCGACTCTTTTTTTTTTTTTTTTTTTTTTTTTTTTTTTTTTTTTTTTTTTTTTTTTATAGTGTTGCGCTGTAATTTTTAGCGACTCTTTTTTTTTTTTTTTTTTTTTTTTTTTTTTTTTTTTTTTTTTTTTTTTTTTTTTTTTTTTTTTTTTTTTTTTTTTTTTTTTTTTTTTTTTTTTTTTTTTTTTTTTTTTTTTTTTTTTTTTTTTTTTTTTTTTTTTTTTTTTGAGAATGGATTTTAGCGAGTCTTTGATATTTAAGTTGGTGAACATTTGGAACTTGCAAGATTTTGGACGAAGTGTATTTTTTTTTAGTCTTTATGGAAAAGAGTAATAACTTTTTGGGTAGTTCCTTTCGATTTTGAATTTTTGAAGCGTATTTTAAGGTTGTAGAAATGGTACTTGGATTTACCTATGATTTCATGAATTGCGTTGTAAGCTTATGTTTGTGGGGAGGGTTGATGTATATTCATGTGTCTTATTCTTGGCTTGCAGATATTAAAATTTCATTGTGTATGTTAAACTTCTGAAGTTCCCTGCTTTCAGGTTGGCAAAGACGATAGTTGATGCTATTTTGGGTCTCAGCTTTGATGACTCATCCAGTAATTTAGCTGCTGCAACTATTTTCTACGTTTTGACGGCTGATGTAAGTTTTTCTGCATGGTTGATCATAAATCTATTTAAAGCTTAGGCAGCTATATTTGAACCCTTTGCGTTAATGGTTTTCTTCACTCAATCAAAAGTGCTGTCTGTTAGAAAATATAATTTTCAATTTTCTGTAAAGGCATGAAGAAGTACAGAAATTTGTTATGCTTAATTTTTATCACACTGTTTTTTACTACTCATGCTTCTTGATTGTTGCTCTAGGATATAATATTTAAATAAATGTTTTTATTTTCTATGGACTGTAAACATCACAATGGGGAGCCTCTTGAATCCAATAAACGAAGTCAACTGGGAAGCGGGATAGGTGTTTTGGTATGTGAGTGTTAGCTTGGACATTCTGGCAATGCACAAGCATGCCTTGCAATGAACATCTGAGCAAAATGTATATAAATGATACCAAAGTTTCTATATGGGAAGATTGAAAGGTGAGTTTATATGATTAATAATATTGGCTGTAAAGTTTGAGAAGTTTTCTCAAAAGAGCTGGTCTTAAGCAAGTTCTAAATGCTTCTTAGATCTTGCAACTGGTTTGCTTTATCTGTAATAAATGAAGCTGAATAGTACCTATTCGGCGGTTTAATATGTGAGAGAAAATGCTTTCTGTAAGTAATTTGTCCAAGCGTGTGGGCGTTCAAAATTGTGTTGGTAAATTGATTTTATGGTTTTTTTTATTTGACCCTCTATATTTTGCTAATGCTTCAAACCCACTTTAGGATATGATAATTAAATTAGTGCTTTTATTATGTTTATCAATTTTATACTTTGTTTTTAATTGCTATTACTTTGAACATAGCAGATATTGGAACAAAAGATTCATATAGCTGACCCCAACTAGTTTGGGACTAAGGCTTGATTGTTGTTGTATTAAGTTTATTATATGTTGAGGTCCTTGAATAATTTGCTTTCATGTTTTATTGTTTCTTTTCTTATCAAGTTTGACTTCCCCCCTTTATACATTTTGCACCCCATAATAAAGGTTTGGATATGTTTAATTTTGTCATTTTTCAGAGCCAGGATGATAACATTTTGGAATCACCCAGTTGCATTCGTTTTCTAATTAAGTTGTTGAAGCCAGTCATTTTGACTAATGCTGAAGACAAAGTTCGAAATATTGGCAGTAAGCTTTTATCATTGCGCAAAGATAATGATATCTTAAGAGATACATCTAAACTGGTAGATTCCAGCACTAGTGCTATTTTTGCCAAAGTCCAAGAGATTCTTGTTTGCTGCAAGGACATGAAGTCAAACTGTGAAGATGCTAATGGAACAGAGAGGCCAGAACTGAACCAAAAATGGATAGCTTTGCTGACAATGGAGAAAGCTTGCTTATCTAAGATATCGTTCGAAGGTATTCTGGCTATCATCTTTTCTATTATATGCATAAGAAATTAATAAATTTATCACTTCTATTGTATGTGCTTGTATTAGGATCAAATGTCGGTAATGTTCCATGTTGTTGAGTAATTTAATTACAGGATGAGTAACAGATATTATCAATTAAAGTATGAATTTCTATATTGGTGACCATTTAAAGATATTAATATAACACTAATGGTTTTTTTTTTTTTTTTTTTTTTTTATTTAAAGATTATTAATATAACACTAATGGTTTTTTTTTTTTTTTTTTGTTTTTTTTTTTTTTTTTTTTTTGAAAAAGAACCATTGCCTATTAATTGCTGTGAATTTTTTTCTCATGTAACTGGCTAAATGCTCTTTGTTCATCATATTTGCTTCAACCACGCATGGTTTTTTGCTCATTTTCCTGATACACACTTCACTTGCAATGGGTTTGTCATTATCTCTTGAGCCTTAAATTTTTTTTCCCATCTGTATACTAATAGGTGCTTGAGGTAAAAATTTCTAACCCAACTTGTGTCGTTTCTGAATTTGTGCTGCATACATTATCATCATCTCACGCCTAAATGTGTATGGATGTGTATATACACATTCTTCACTCTCTGTCTGTATTTTAAACTTTTGCTGATTTTTATCCCATGGTGTGGTTTGCATTCCTTCAGATACACCTGGCATGATAAGAAAGACAGGGGGCAACTTCAAGGAGAAGTTACGGGAGATGGGAGGACTCGATGCTGTTTTTGAGATTGCCATGAATTGTCATGCTGTTATCGAGGTGTGAGCTTGTATGTTTGTATAATCTCATTATTGGTTTTGTTGTATAGTACAGAAATGTTTTGAGTGAGAAAGTCCAGAGATAATGTTGCTTGAATGATTGAGAACATTTCTTATCCCCTTTTCTCGACTTCTCATATTAGTATAACTGAAAACTCTATTCCTGATGAGTAAAGCTTTCACAGAGGTGTGCTGAAGTGTGCTACCATACACGTCCATTGCATCACATAGGATAAACTTCAAATTGTTTCTTCTACTTCCACTTTTATCTTGATAGGACTGATGTGAATCAGTCTCTTACTCTCGCTTTTCCCCTTTCTCATTCTTCTAGCAATGATTTTTGCAAAATAGAGCTATCCTCCTTTCTAATTTCTCTGGGGGAACTTTCTATTACGGGTGCAAGTTTTTTTTTTTTGGAGAAGTTGATTTTTGAGCACAAATTTATCTGCAGAGTTGGACAGAACATGTTTCGCCTACCATAGGTGATGCAAAAGATGACTCAGGTTTGCAGAGCCTGGTGTTGCTATTAAAATGTTTGAAAATCATGGAAAATGCTACATTCCTAAGTAAAGATAATCAGGTAAATCTTACAGCAATGATGCCTTGTTAATTTTGTCCTCTTCTTATTCTTCCTCCAGTTAATAAAAAACTTAAATGGCCATCTGCTGCTGGATGATTAGATCTTAATTCACTTTTTTTTCTCAATGTAGAGCCATTTGCTTGGAATGAAAGGGAACTTAGATTCTCATGGATACCGGCTTTCTTTTACAAAACTTATTATGAGTGTCATAAAGATTCTGTCTGGTAATATTACCTTTCTGCTTTTGTTTCTTTATGGGTCTAGGTGGGGTGAATTGATGTAATTTGTATTATAATGGATGATGGTCTTGATTTCTAGGTCTTTCTCTGCTTAAAAGTTCCTCTCCTGCCTCTGGTGGTGGTAAATCTTGCAGTCTTTCTGACAGCAGTTATCATGCTTCTGATTTGGCTTTAATTGCAGACCACAGAGGTACTCATTTATTTCTGCCTACTCCTGATGCTTGTTCTCTTTTACTTCTGCCTCATCCTGGGGCTTGTTTTCTTGTTTCTCTTTAGTGATTGATCAATTACTCTTGCAGTAAATGGCAATGAAATTATATCCATCAGTTCTTCAACAGATTATTGTGGCACAGAGAGGAATTTTTCTGGACGAAGCTTTAGCATATCTCAGAAATCCAATTCCCAGTTTAGTTTTACTGCTTCCACTTCTGAAACTACAGCTACATTGATGAATGATGCATGCCAGTTAAGGATGAGGGTCCATTCTTCCATGTCCAGTTCATGTAACACAAGATCTAATAGTGAAAAACCTGTAAATAATAATGGGTTGAGGACAAAATTTGCAGTTCCTGAGAGAACTAATTGTAATAAAAATAACAAATGTGAACTCGTAGATGATAATCAAGATCCTTATGCATTTGTTGAAGATGAGATTCAGCCCTCAAAGTGGGACTTGCTATCTGGGAAGCAGAAAAAACATCGATCTCGAGATTATAGTGCTACCGCAAGAGACCTTGAAGATAGGTTTCAGTGTCGGCTAATGAGCCAAGAGGAATCAAGCAATGGTGAAAATTGCCAACAAAATTCAAGAAATGTGGACCATTATCCTTCGCAGTTAAACTCGTGCAGTGTTTATGAGGACGAACATTCTGGTCTTCTTGCAGACTGTCTTCTTACTGCAGTGAAGGTGTTCATCAAATCCACTATATTGATTTCTTCACATCATTTGGCTTTTGTGTTAATGTATCTTCTTGGCAGGTTCTAATGAATTTAACAAATGACAACCCTATTGGCTGTGAACAAATTGCTGCATGTGGAGGATTGGAGACTATGTCTTCTTTGATTGCTGGTCACTTCCCTTCATTCAGCTCATCTGTGTTCCTATCCAGTGAGATGAAAGAGGACAATTCAAGTATCGAACTTGAAAATCAGAATGATAATCATCTTACTGATCAAGAGTTGGATTTCCTTGTTGCTATATTGGGCTTACTGGTGAACCTGATCGAGAAGGACGGGCATAACAGGTTAAACTTCTTAACAATTTTCCGTGGACCTGCACATGTTATTTGCGTGAGGCAATTGGTACATGGCTTGAGAAAAGTGTTGACTCTTGGTATTGTTGACTGCAGGTCAAGGCTTGCAGCAACAAGTGTTTCATTACCTAGCTCAAAAGGGTTAGATGAGGAGACTCACAGGGATGTAATTCCACTATTGTGTTCAATCTTTCTAGCCAATCAAGGAGCAGGTGATGCAGCTGATGCAGCTGGAGAAGGAAATGTGGCATGGGTGAGTTATAAATTATCAATTATGGAGTGCTTTGTTGTGTTGATTTCTTTTAATAGTTTTTTTTTCCACCTATTTCCTATTATGTATATATGCGCAATGTGAAATGTGGTTGGGTTTAGTGTGTGTATATTTCACTATTTTTTAGTTGCTGAAAATATATTCAAAGAACAAATAGGTGATACCTGTCAAAGGTTGAATGGGTTACTTCTGTTCACTAGAGCATCAAATGTTCAACTTCAGAAAATAAAATGTAATTAACATCTGGAATATGCATGTTGTTGCATACAGAATGATGAGGCAGCTGTGCTACAGGGAGAGAAAGAAGCTGAGAAGATGATTGTAGAAGCTTATGCAGCACTCCTACTTGCATTCCTTTCAACAGAAAGGTTTATCTATTGCTACCTCACCACAATTCTCTCTTTTCAATTGTTATGTTTTGCTATTTGTCTCAAACGTCTTTTGTTCCCATGACAGTAAGAGAATTCGTGATTCTATTGCTGATTACCTTCCAAATCATAGCCTGGCTGTTCTTGTTCCTGTTTTGGAGAGATTTGTGGTATGTGTTTTGTTCTTTGATTGTCCTGAATATAAATATTGGGAATTATGCAGATATAAAATTGAGAAATCATTTACTATAGGGAATTTTGCATTTGTTTAACAAATGTTAATTCTTCTTGTTGCAGGCATTTCATTTGACATTGAACATGATTTCGCCAGAGACTCATAAAACTGTGACTGAAGTAATTGAATCATGTAGGATACCATGAAAGCTCAAGAAAATGCAAATTTTGTACAGCCTCTTGCCTTCTTTTGTGATAAACTTCTGTTGTATACAACTGCACACTCTATCATTCCTGACCATCAACCTGAACTTTAGTCTGATTTTTTTCCCCTTTTCTTTTCTTTTTGCCCCTTTTTACACTATTCTTTTTATATGGAGCAGGCTGAGACGCTTGTATACGAAATGATAGTAGAATCAAAATATATTCCTTTGTGCATTATCTATGTAATTTGTTAAAGCTAATTTATCCCCTTCGACCCATTTGCTTCCTGTTTGCAAACACGCGCTGTTGCTTTGCTTTCACTTGCGATTTAAAGGTGTGTAACCAGAGCACTATATTGTTGTATCCGTTGCTAGTGAAATTTTGTTATGAGAGACGTTCCTATGATTCTTCGGATTTGCTCTGGTAAAGCTCAGAAATTATATTTCTGAAGTCCATTAAATTGATGAAAATTTCTGTGGTCGAGGGGTCTCAAGAGTTTAGACCTCACTACCAAAACCTGCTAGATCAAATCTGGTTGGCAATAAGTAGCTACTTAATTGCCATCTTTTTGAACTTTTCTATTACGTCAATGTGCTAAAAAATTATTATTGAAAACTCCAATGGTTTACAATACTGTGCGACAAAATTGAAATAATGTATGCAATAATAATGTGCGTGAATTTCATGCGTAATTAATATGATAGAAAATAAAATTCAATTAACTCAAGTAATATATTAATCAAAATAACTCAATTGAGTTTGAAGAACATGTGAGAACTAATAACTTGGTCATTTAAGGAAAGTAGGAACTCCTAAAATTTTTTCAAAGTGTAAAATATGTTTTCAAATTACTAATTTCTATTATTACGTACGATTTCTTTCAACGTTTGATCTTTGATTGGATGCCTCCATGAAATTCATATGAAACTGAATTACATTAAAGATTTCAACTTGGGTAGAAAATGCAGGATGTCTGTCACCACACAGTTTATTTTAAACAGCTTTGATCAAGCACGTTTCTCGAGGAAGCCGATGATAAGCTGATTAATCTGATCTGGGTATTGTTCTTGAATAAAATGGGTACCATCTGGGAAGCTCTTTATCTCAAAATCAGAAACATAATCCTTCACTTTACCACTGGTTAAGTACTCCTTAATTCCTGGGAATTTAAGGAAATAATCTTTCTCACCTATTATTAGCAGCACTGGAACCTCAATTTTTGGATCAGTCAAAGTGAAGTCTACTCGCAGTCCCCTACAATAATACATGCAGATAGATTACCAGTGGCTATTAGTATCAACACACAAGGCCTTTCAGTTTCAAGGAAAAGTATAAATCTATACCTTTAAGGGACTTGCATGGGAGAATCAAAACCAGATTTTTCATATGATGTTTCATAGACCACAATATCCTCATTGGTCAACCGTGGAGGCAGAGGTGTTGATGGATCCACCAAATCCATAATCTCCTTATTTGTATCTGCTATAGGAATTTCACTTCTTGAGAAGAGAATGTAAATATTCCTCCATACAGTTCTCACGTCAAATCTGCTAAAGTCAGCCTCAGCTCTTCCAGGTTCCTATGATGGAAATATTACAAACTTAATAAGACTTTTTATGATTCCAGAAAAGAAAACTAAGATTTACCATAAAATTACCTTCCATCTTGAGATGTAGAAAACTTCAGGAAGAAGGTCCTTGTACCGTTGAGGTTGGGTATAAAGAATGGCACACCTAATGACACAACTCCTGAAATTCTTGTTGGGTGGAGAAGATAGAGCAAATAAATAGGCCAGGAACCAAAATCTTTTCCAATCAGGAGCGCCTGCAGTAATTAAAGATTGATTTGACTTGAATAAGATTTGAAGATAAGTGCTGTAAATCTGAAAATAGTATCCTTATTTACCTTGTGAATCTGGTAATGATCAAGGATCGCGATTGTGTCCTCCACAAAGTCATCGAAGGACGCCTTTTCGGGTTCTGGATGATGCTCAGATAATCCATAGCCTCTTAAATCTAGTGCTATTGCGCGGTAGCCAGCACTAGCAACTGCAAGCATTTGGTGTCTCCATGAATACCATATCTCTGGAAAACCATGTATGAATACCACTACCGATGTTCCTGCAAATGAAAAGAAACCTTTTTTTTTTTTTTTTTTTTTTTTGCCGCGGTAGCCAGCACTAGCAACTGCAAGCATTTGTTGTCTTCCATAATACCATATCTCTGGAAACATGTATGAAATACACTACCGATGTTCTGCAAATGCAAAAGAAACCTTTTTTTTTTTTTTTTTTTTTTTAACTACTGGAAAATGAAAAAAAGGAATTATGTCAAGAAGTGAAATTAAGAGTCCCAATTTAAACCAGTTCCAATTTTCTGCAATATGAAGCTTAACTCCTCTTTTTTTTTTTTTTTTTTTTTTTAACTACTGGAAAATGAAAAAAGGAATTATGTCAGAATTGAAATTAAGAGTCAATTTAAACCAGTTCCAATTTCTGCAATATGAAGCTTAACTCCTCTTATGCGTACAAATTTGTGCCGTATCTGATCCATTCCGAGAGACAGATAAAGAGCCAGAGGGAGAGAGAGTCGAGTTATTACAAGCTTTGCTTTATATCACCGTAGATATTTTAAGTTTTATTTGGAAGTTGGAAAGTGATACGGTAACGCAGTATAACAAAGCATGTATGAGGTCTCTGTAGTCTGTAGCACAGTCTTTGCTGGCCCAATGCCAAATACATCAAAATCCAGCATTCCAATTAATTGTTCGAGAAAGGAAACATGTTCAACAGTACATTCTGGTTCTTAATTCTTTGACAGGTACCATGTCCATGCCACAGAGAAGAACCACAAATCCAAGTTCTTCATCATACAATTATGCATGGAATTTCCTCACCAGAATTGGATCGAGTTCAACACACTTCTTAAGTTTTTGATACAATTTACTGCAAATTTTCATGACCATATACGAGAACTAAGGAAAGAAAATAATAGCTCATCGACTTCATCAGGTGATTGCTCCTGAACAAAATGGGCTCCTTCAGGCAAATATATGATCTCCAGATTAGGTACAAACTCTTTGACCTCCCCACTCTTTATGTAATCTTCCATGCCTCGAAATTTAAGGACATAATCTTTGGCTCCCATGATAAGGAGTGATTGAACTTTAACTTTAAGTTCTGTTGTGCCAAACTATTTCTTAATTGACCTGCAATTTGCGTGGTTCCATAAAATCAAAACAAATCAAGTTTTAGCAGATACTACGAAATTTGAAACCACAATCTTAAGTACTGTAGAGTCTTTGCAAATGAAGGACTTATTACCTATATGGAACCTTCAATGCAGTTTGAAAACCAGATTTCTCATATAACGCCCCATATATTGCAAGATCTTCCTCTTTGGACCAAGAAGGAAGAGGAGTTGATGGCTCTACTAAATCCATGATTTCTTGGTTCTCATCAGCTATTGGTATTTCACTTTTTGAGAAGAGAATATAGATGTTCCTAACCACTGTTTTAGCATCAAATCTACCAAAATCAGCTTCTGCTCGCCCAGGTTCCTATACAATTGCAGGAAAGAAAATTAAAAATTGAGTCTTTAATTCTTTATTCTCAAGATTATCAACCAAAGACGAGGAGATGCAAATGCACAAATATATATTACCTGCCATTTAGACATATAGAAACCTTCAGGAAGATATTTATTGAATTGAGCGGGACCTGGAGGTACAAATGGCGCTCCCACGGTTACAATTCCTAATACCCTATCCGGATGCAGAAGAGCAAACATATAGGCAACCCTGGCTCCAAAATCTTTTGCTACAACAACCACCTATCCTCATTCAAGAACCAACAGAAGCAATATCACAACTTATGCAACAATAAATCGAGCTTCTTTCTTTTTTCTTTTACTCAATTCCTTATCATTGAATTAACATTAACAGTAGTATTAACAATGTTAATTAAACAATTAATGAATTGGGAAATTCCCATTTGTTCTCTTTCCTATAAAGAAATCAACGTTTGTCCTTTTCCGTACAATTCATGGCAAAATTAAAACAAAGCAAATTCAGTGCGTCAGTACTCAGTACCTTAGTTATTTGGAGGGAATCTAGGATTCCGACGAGGTCGTTGATTATGTCCCTGTACGTGGCCTTCTCGGGTTCGGGTGGCGGGTCGGATAGTCCATATCCTCTGTAATCGGGTGCGATTGCACGGTACCCTGCATTGGCTAGAGCAATCATTTGGTGCCGCCACGAGTACCATATCTAAGGAAATCCGTGCAGGAACAACACCACCTTACTGCCTGCAGATCATTAGATCAAACATTAGTGTTTGATTGACAATTCAGTGATAGTGCATGACAAAGAAGGTAGGGATGAGCGTTACCGGTTCCGATGTCGGCTAAGTGGAGGTTCAGTCCACCGACTGGGATGAACTTGTGCTGAATTTTGTCCATTTTGATGATGAAGTAACGTCTGTACTCGAGAAATGAAAAAGGTATCAGAAATTTACGTCGTTTATGTCATAATCCTTGTCCTGGTTAGCGCATCAGTACACAGTAGTCACTAGTCAGTGCCAGGCGTCTCTACGTTTGTCTTATATCATGAGCTAAAATACGTTACTCCAGCATGAGACGACTTTCGTTTTCTTCATGTCGTCCGAGGAAAAACGACCGATTTAAGAGCGCCACATTGTAACTTGTAGTAAGAGAAAATAATTGGGCTGTACAATTGAGGCCCAAAGGACAAGCCCAGAGGTCCACCAAGCTGGCCACAGACAGGCAAAGCCTTGTCCAGAAACTTCTTTCACGTCTCTGAGGAGAAAACCGGTTAGATCTGTCCAAACTAGCAGATAGCTCAGTGTAATAAGGGAAAAACTTAAGGCCGGATAGATGACTGCACTTGTGGAACAAATAAATAAGATAAAAAACTTTTTAAAAACCGTTTCTAAAGAAAATTTTTGACTATTTGTTTTTTAAAAAAAAAAGATAAAATCAAAATATTACTTAAAAATTTTTTATCTCATTTATTTTGTTCATAAGTGGAATCATGAACTGTCTAGATAAATTTTTTCCGTGTATTAATAATATCATTATATTTAGTGAAAAATAATCTATCTTTTCTTTTTAGTTTGTCATGAAATATAGTCGATTTTTCTTTTTACATTATAGTTAATTCTTAAATTATCTATTATACCATTATTAAATTTTATTTTATTTTCAACAATCCTTATTAAATTTTATTTATTATTTCAATATAATAATTGCTCATATATTATTTTAACACGTGTATGATATAAAAATTATATAAATAAAATTGTGTTTTAATGGTAATAATTGCTATTTTGTGAAATTTACTAATCTGTGTGAAAAATAGGAGTGGAATAATTTTTGTACGAAAGGAGTATTAATAATAATTATTATTATTACATTAATGCCGTCATACTCTTATTCCAACACATTATCAGTTCTCCTCATCTTTTCTCACTGCTGTTTCTCTCTCTCTCTCTCTCTCTCGCGGAGAATTGCGGATTTTAATTTGTATATGATATCTTCAATTCAAAGTCCGAAAAACCCTAGCCATCGCGAAGCGGGGGAAATCCATATTGCAAGCAAGGCAAGAGTTTGGTATGGTAACCCATTACTCTGCGTTTTATGTTTTCGTTAATTGTTGTTTGATTAGGTTTTACAGTAATTATCATGCAGCTATTCGTTCCTGTTTCACAATAATGGTTAATTAGGTTTCTCTGTCACGATCGCTTTTTTATAAAACGGATAGATATGCCTACTATACTATTTGAGGATTTCTTTTCTCTTTGTGTGCCTCTATTTGGGTTTGTCGTGGAGCTGGAATGGTTTGGTAGAATCAGAGATTCAAGAATCAGCTCTAGTACTGGGGTTATATGTTTTTATCAGTGAAGTAATCCAATTACCTGCAATTCTGCACTTACACATTTTAGTGCATTCCAGCTATTGTTGTGGCTCTTGAAATGAATGAATCAGTAGAATTACTTGGATTTCATTTATACAAGTCCTTGTATTCTGTACAAGCATGTTATGGTCTACATTGTATCTCTTTCTGGCTGATGCGCCAGGGAGCCTGCATGACATAATTGCTGATTTGGAAAGGCCAAGATTGGAAGAGTGAAATTATATTGTTGAGCTTTGAAGATGCAATTGAGCTCCTTTGGAGAATATAAATTAATTATCAGAATTGAGCTCAGTTGGGAGTTTAATGAATGGAATGAAACCTTGATTTTTTTTTTTTTTTTTCCATATGTGATTAATTTGCAAATGCATGTGCTAATTTATTATTTTGTCTCTTGTGCTAATTGTAATCGCATTACTATGTATGTTCCACATGCATATCTGCTTTTGCTTTGAAGATGCAAATGAGCTCCTTCAGAGAATATAAATTAATTGTCAGAATTGAGCTCACTTGGGAGTTTAACGAATGGAATGCAACCTTGATTTTTTGCCATATGTGATAATTTATTATTTTGTCGCTTGTGCTATTTGTAATCGCATTACTATGTATATTCCACGTGCATAATCTGCTTTTGCTTTGAAGATGCAAATGAGCTTCTTTGGAGAACATAAATTAATTCTCAGAATTGAGATCAGTTGGGAGTTTAATGAATGGAATTCAACCTTGATTTTTTTGCCATATGTGATTAATTTGCAAATGCATATGCTAATTTATTATTTTGTCGCTTGTGCTATTTGTAAATGCATTACTATATATATTCCACGTCCATAATCTGCTTTTGCTTTGAAGATGCAAATGAGCTCCTTCGGAGAATATAAATTAATTGTCAGAATTGAGCTCAGTCGGGAGTTTAATGCATGAAATGCAACCTTGATTTTTTTCCATATGTGATAATTTGCAAATGCATATGCTAATGTATTATTTTGTCGCTTGTGCTATTTGTAACGTATTACTATGTATATTTCATGTACATAATCTGCTTTTGTTTTTTTACTGTTGACAGGTGAACTAGTTGATTAACACTTGAAGACTTGTTACTAGTGATCTAAAATATAGGGACTTGCTGTGAACCATGGCAGACTTGGAAAATTTGCTTCTGGAGGCAGCAGGAAGAACTGGATCATCTGGAAGAAACAGGAATGCACATCCACCATCTAGGAGGCGACGTGAGGGTTCATATTCTGATGGTGGAAGTGACTCTAGAGATGAAGATTCAGATGATGACCGCGGCTATGCCAGCAGGAAGCCATCTGGATCTCAAGTTCCTTTGAAGAAGAGATTGGACCCTGCTGAAAGAGATGATGATCAGGGTAGCCAAGAAGAAGGTGGTTATGATGATGGGGCCTCTGACCGTGAGGGTGACAGCAGTGATGAATCAGATGTTGGTGATGATCTTTACAAGGATGAGGATGATCGGAGGAAGCTTGCTCAAATGAGTGAACTTGAAAGGGAGATGATATTATCAGAGCGGGCAGACAAGAAAGGTGATAAGAATTTAACTGAGAGGATTAGATCAAAACGGGACAGTGAGAGGGCAACCCGATCCAGAAAAGAGACTCCACCTCTGCCATCATCTCGCGGAGTTCGCACATCAGCTAGATCGGCAGACAGGGCAGCTGCCAAAGATGATGCATTGAACGAACTCAGAGCTAAGCGTTTAAAGCAGCAGGACCCAGAGGCTCACCGTAAGTTGAGGGATGTCTCTAGAGGAACTTCTGGCAGTCGGGGTGTTTCACCTGTCAGGAGAAAACGTTTCACTTCGGCAAGCCTGAGTAGCTCTAGCAGTGAGAGTGACAGTAGGTCTCATAGTGAAGATGAAGCGTCAACAGGTGACGGTGGAATGGCAGATAGTGATGAGGACAGAGAGCCTGGATCCGAAGGTCTGACATATGATGATATACGGGAAGTCACTATCCGGAGGTCAAAACTTGCTAAATGGCTTATGGAGCCATGGTTTGAAGAGTTGATTGTAGGTTGCTTTGTGAGGGTTGGGATTGGAAGGTCAAAATCTGGTCCAATCTACAGGCTCTGCTTAGTCCGTAATGTTGATGCTGCAGACCCTGACCGCCCATACAAACTGGAGAATAAAACTACATACAAATATCTGAATGTTATTTGGGGCAATGAAAGCTCTGCAGCAAGGTGGCAGATGGCGATGGTTTCCGACTCTGCTCCAACTGAGGATGAGTATAAACAGTGGGTCAGGGAGGTGGAGCGTAGTGGTGGCCGGATGCCAACCAAACAGGATATTCTGGAAAAGAAGGAGGCAATAAAAAAGTCAAATACATTTGTATACTCAGCGGCCACTGTGAAGCAGATGTTGCAGGAGAAAAAATCTGCCTCAACAAGGCCATTAAATGTTGCTGCTGAGAAGGACCGGTTGAGGAGAGAGTTGGAAGTTGCACAAATGAAACAAGATGATGCAGAGGTAGAGAGGATTAGGGCAAGAATTCAGGAACTGGAGGCATCTCGGCAAGCTCAGGAAAAAGATGCAAAGGCTATTAGACTGGCAGAGATGAATAGAAAGAACAGGGCTGAGAATTTTAGAAATGCCTCAGAATTGAAACCTGTAAACACAAGTCTGAAAGCAGGGGAGGCTGGGTATGATCCTTTTTCAAGGAGATGGACTAGGTCTAGGAATTATTATGTGTCAAAGCCTGGTGGAGCAGATGTGGCTGCAGAAGCAAATAATAATGGCACAGCAGCTGTTGCACATAGTAATGGGGCAGCAACAGGGACTTTGGCTGAGGCTGGCATGGCTGCTACAGCGGCAGCCTTGGAGGCAGCAGCTGATGCAGGGAAGTTGGTTGATACTGCAGCTCCTGTGGATCAAGGGACTGAGTCAAATACACTTCATGATTTTGATCTTCCAATCTCATTGACTGCACTTGAGAAGTTTGGCGGAGCAAAGGGTGCTAAGGCAGGGTTCATGGCAAGGAAACAACAGATAGAAGCAACTGTCGGATGCCGGGTCCCTGAGAATGACGGGAGGAGACATGCTCTGACTTTGACTGTTAGCGACTACAAGAGAAGAAGAGGACTCCTCTGAAATGTGATAATGCACCATCAACTTCCTTTCTGGTGACTACCTCAGATCGCACAGCCTTCAAGCATGTCTCTGAATTGTGTTGATCTTGTAATTGCAAACCTGGTTACTGGGAAAGTATTGTGTCACAACATCTTTGCTGTCTGAAGTTTTAATATTATGGGTATAGTGTTTGGCTTTGCCTTCGAATTATTCATGGAAAGTTTGACAGTGATTTTTATTTAGAGAGCTGGATAAATGCTGCTATTGAAGTTTTATATATGGATTAATTTGGCTACTTGATTTGTTAAGAGCTGCCATCATCTTTTCATGAGATGGAGGTGTTCACTTGTTAGTTGACTATTTTGCAAATGTTGCTAGAGGTCTCACAATTTAGCATGGGGTCTGCATTTTCAAAATTTCAAGGTTGCTATGTCAATTGGTCAGTTGACTTCATTTGGATCTTAGTGCTTCCCAAAAACTTTTTTTACAACATACGGACAGTGTTCTATAAACTTTTCTGGAAATGGTTCTATGTGTTCAGACTATAAATCCAGAATTTTTTTTCATGGGGAATGGATTGCTTGGGTTTTTAAAGGGGTAGGATTTGCCAGGGTTTGAACTCATTCTGCACTGCAAATAAGCATTCAACTACTCAGTTATTAGTTTAATGGGCAGAATGCATGAAAGTGAAGAATGCATTTCTGTCTAAATTAGTAAATTTTTCTTGGACCCTGTCGAATAGGGTTGTCCCACTCCTTTTTTTTTTTTTTATTATGGCATTTATTCATTTTTTAACAACCGCGGTTAGGTGATGCAATGCTCGTTCGTTTGCATTCATTAATTTATTTGAAAAAAATGCCAAACTTCTCTCTCCTCTCTCGGGCAAACACAGGCCGGAAGCCCATAGCGATCAAAGCCAGCATTCCTTCCTCACGAACGAAACTAGTGAAAAAAGGGTACTAGTGACTAGTAGTGAGGCCATTTGGATGACGATGGACATGTGTTTGGTGCCACAGTTGTTGAGATGAGGATGTGCTCTTTCATTCCTACTTTTTGGCCGAAACCAAGGTCAGCTATTTCGACATTTTTCTGTAAATTATTTACCCTTTATACAAAGAAAGTAAATTATACAACCCTCTAAATTACATTGTTGTTCTTTCTATTTTGAAATCCAACTAACATAATTTTTATATTTAAGATATTTGATGCATTTCTTTTTTTTTTTTTTTTTTTTTGGAGCATGTGTTTGGTGGCCACAGATATGTATGAGATGAGGATGTGGGGGCATCTTTCATTTCTAACTTTTTGGGCCGAACAAAGGGTCAGCGGCTATTTCGACATTTTTCTAGTGATAAATTATTTTACCCATTTATACAGAGAAAGTAAATATAGCGAAACCTCTCGTAAAATTAGCATTGTTGTTCTTTCTATTTTGAAAATCCAACTAACATAATTTATTATATTTAAGATATATAAGATGGGCAGGTTTCTTTTTTTTTTTTTTTTTTTTTTTTTTTTTTTTTTTTTTGAAGAGTAGATAGTTGATGCATTTCTATTCTTTCAGATCAGTAGTGTCAATTTTCTATTACAACGTAATATATTTACTAATAAAAATCTAAATTAAATACGTATATAATAAGAAAGTCAAACAAATAAAGAAGGAAAGTATATGAGATGAAAAAAGTTATCAACTTATCTTATGGAGGCATACCTACAGGACTCTTCAGGTATTAGGATAAATGATATTCCTTTCGTTCCATTTTATTTATATAATTTAATAAAATATACATATTAAAAATTTAATTAATAAAAATTATTTTAGTATTCTTTATTCTTAATAATTCATTAAAATGCTAAAAGTCATTTATTAAATAAATAATTATAAAGGTTATTATGAGAAAAATAATTATTTATATATCTAAATTTAAAAATTATATATACATTTTAAAACATTTAAAAAAAATAAAAATCAAATAAAATGATATGAATAAAATATTATTAAATCATTATAAGGAATAATTTTTGTTCACGAGGAAGACATTTTTTTTTTAACTATAAAGTACGATTTCTCCAAGTGGCATAGCATGTGAGGCAAAAAAGTAATAACAACTTATTTTCCTCAATTTAAAAAAAAAAAATAAAGAAAGTCAAAAGCAAAAACTTGCGGCATGATAAAAGCTGATCGAACATGCAAGAAAATTCGCTGAGAAAAATAAAAAAAGAAATTAAGAAAGTTCCCTGAAAATATATTTGGCAACTTTGCCTAAAATATCCAGCACTTCATCCTTGCCTCGACTGGGCACTATGTTTAAAAAACGAGAGGAAAGAAATTTAGGAAGGAAATAAAATATTTAAAAAAAATAAAGAGGAAAAATAAAAAAGAATTTTTTCTCTTGATGTTCGGACGTGTGAGAGGAAAATGAGGAGGGAAAGTGATTTTATAAATAGTGAGATTATCATTTTAACCTTTACTTTTTACTGACGAAAGTACAATAAAAGTATAATTTTTATTATTTTGAACCAATTTTCCTTTTAAATTGCAGAGAAAATGGCATGTTGCTCAATATTTATTTCCCTCCGTATTTCTTCATTCCCAAATAAGTAAGGAAAGAAAATTTATTTATTTTCCTTCCCAACCAATCCTCGTTACTCCCATATCCTGGACCAATCCAAACGTATAGTAAGAGATAAGAAAAAATATCTTTTATGATGTCAAATCAATCTCAACGAGGAAAAAACATAAAAGCCAGTGAAATAACCAGCCAAGAAATTTTTTTAAAAAATATTAGAAGGCCCAAAATAGAAACATTATTGTTATTTTAAAAAATGTAAGCCTGTCTTATAATTTTTTTTTTTTTAAAATGTAAGCCAGCTTTGAAGTTCAACCAATAATAAACCAACTTGTCTTGTGTTTCTGCCTCTTCCTTCACTTCTTTTATATACGAGTGAACAAAGTGAACTAAAGAACTCACAGACCTTTTATATGGTTATTTTTTTGTTTCACGATGTCCAAACCGCAAAAATATTTCTTTTCCCTCACATTTTGCCGCCTCCTCCATTAATTCCCTCTCTTTCTCTCTGCTAAGCTTTTCATTAACTCAAAATGAACCAGATAGCAAAACCCAGTTGGTCATTTTAGCCATAAACAAACTATCACCATGTACCTAAGCACCAAACTTTGTCAACACTACTTTCTCTTTCTTCAGAACTTGCATAACACTAAAAGATCTATCTTTACCTTTCTCTCTTGCTTACCCACATCCTTGCTTGCTCTTATTCTGCTACTCCTTTTGGTGTACAATGGCTCCTCTGTTTTCTACATTCATCTACCCCTTCCCGCCAAATATCCAACGGGATCTCCCAATTTGACGCCGGCGGGAAAATCTCTCAAAAAGCTTTCTTCTTCAGTGTTGTATGCAGTTAAAGAAGAAAACCCATCCATAATTTCAAAGACCCATTTGCCTCTTTTGCAAAAACAAGCTGTTTCAATGATACCCATTAATAATTCTTTGGGCTTAAGGCCAAAAAAAGTTCACAAGCACAGAGCTTTGATTCGGGTACTGCGTCAGGGAGCCAAATCAAAGCAGTACTGTTCAACAAGAATAAGGACCTTCTTTGAGAGTTCTGTTTGTAAGGTTCGGTTCTTTATGACTTGGATTTCTTCTTTAGAGTCATTTGGTGATAGAGAGTTATTTGGTGTAGAGAGTTTGTTCAAATTTCACCCAAATGCTTGTTTGGTTATTGTTTCCAGTTCTATGGATTCGAAAAGAGGTAGTCTTGTTTTAAAGCCTTTTTTGGATAAGGGATTTAAAGTGAATGCAATTAGGCCTGATTTTGATGATATATTGAAGAACACTCGTGCAGAGTCATGGTTTCATGAATTAAAGAAAGGAAAAGTTAAGCCTGGAGATGTTTCTATAGGTCAAAACCTCTCTAATTTGCTTAGGCTTGTTTTATTGTACAAATTTGGTGGCATTTATTTAGACACTGATTTTGTAGTGTTGAAAAGTTTGAATAAATTGAGAAATTGTATAGGAGCTCAAAATATTGATATTGGAACTGGTAATTGGAGCAGATTGAATAATGCAGTTTTGATTTTTGATAAGAAACACCCTTTAGTATTCAAGTTCATAGAAGAATTTGCTCTAACTTTTGATGGAAACAAGTGGGGCCATAATGGTCCTTATCTAGTTTCTAGAGTAGTTTCAAGAGTAGATGGGAGGCCTGGTTTTAATTTTACTGTCTTGCCTCCATCTGCATTTTATCCAGTCAATTGGAGTAAGATTAGAACCTTATTTAGAGCGCCTAGAGATGAGCTGCATTGGAAATGGTTGCGCAGAAAGCTTGGGCAGATAAGAAAGGAAAGTTTAGCCGTCCATTTGTGGAACAAGCAGAGTAGACAAATCAAAGTTGAAAATGGAAGCATCATCAATCATTTAATGCTGGATTCTTGCATCTTCTGTAATTCTTCAAGCTTCAATCTATTAAATAACAGTAAAATATGACAATTGCCAACAACCCTTTTGTGTTTCTGTACTGTTTCTGCTTTTCTGTACATTTCATTTCTGTGTTCTGATATGGTTATGGACAAACTTAGTCATAGTGTTAGCAAAGAAAGAAAAGGAGAATCCTTTTCTTTAATAGATTCCTCCCCTCCCATTTTTTGGGTCGTTTCTTCTAATTTTCTCCCTAGTTTCAAGATCAGTAAAATGCAAAAGAATGGTTTACATTCTGAGGCTCTGAGCTTGTGTATCTAATTCAAAATTAATAATTATTAAATCATTATCTTAAAAGTTTCTTTCTTTCTTACAGTTCTTGTGGGCCTTGCAGCAAAAAGAGGACCTTCTGATGTTCTTGAATAAACATGCCATTAAATTTAATAATTGAAATCTCCATGGGATGAAAATTTGGAAAGGAAAAAGAAGTTGAAATTAGGAATTGTTTATCTTGTAAGTATTTTTATTATTTTTAATCAGGAATTTAGGAAGATGAAGTCATCTTTGATATAATGCCAACTAAAATGAGTTGTGAAAGTGATCTGTCATTTTCCATTCAATATGGACGCCTACCTTGAGGCCTCACAGCCACAGCCTCCATACATCTTTTTATCATTTCTTCTTGATTTTCTTATATTTGCCATGTGCCTTGGTTGCATATTTATAGTATTGCTATTACAAAACAATAACATAATTTTCAATATTTGATAAAATAAATTGTCATTACTAAGCACGATTCGAACCATGAATCCTAGAACTAGTCAATGAATTTCATCACGTCTGTTTGTTTAATGTTTATTGCAGTAATAGTAGTTTAATGTTTTAAATGCAATATCATGTAAATTTGATGGAATTAATTATGTGCATTAAGGAGGTTTAGGGCATGGCATGAAGCTTTTGTGATGTAACTTCCAATTCTATAAAACAAAAACTGATTAGTTAATACATTAATTACTTGCTGTTGTCAATATGGCACATGCTCACAGCTCGCATGATACTTCTCATTCACGAGACAATTATCATGAATTTTAATTTTAATATTAGTTTTATTAACATCACATAAATTTTTATTTTTATTTCAAAGGAAGATCACCTACCAGAAATTTGGTAATCAGAATAGTAAATATAATACTAAAGAATACATATTTTAAGTCATAAATTTTAAAGAAATATAAGAAAGAGGAGAAAAAAAAATGCAACAAAATGCAAATATTAGAGTAAAATTTTTCTTTTTTATTTTCTGAAAACTTATTTTATATAAATAGTATTTATTAAATACATTAATAGGTGCCTAACATTTATAATTTAAACAGCTATATAAATAACTACCAGCTAATACCTTATTTCTTTTTAAAGACTACTAAAACAACTAGTATTGCTGAACTTTATTTCATTTAAGAGACGCAAAAGTACCAATTGAAAATATGTGATTATCAAGTTTTAAAAAGGCAAAAGTTTTTTTGTAGCTCTCTAATTTAGTAGCTCTCTAATTTAGGTGCCTTTAGAGAATTCTGGATTAGCATTCTCATATGCATCTCTATTACTAATTTAGCATTTAAATTTACCATATACAATGTAATAATCTCTTCTATATCACTGTGTATGTTCAACCTATAAAAACATCGAAAAGTCGCCAACATGAATTAGTATAATACATGTATAAAGAGAGAGGGATTCAAAATCTCAGGGATTCAACAAGCAGAAAGGAGCTCTTTTTTCTTCTAGAGTTACAGATACTGTATTCAGTATAGCATTTCACTATGATACATTTGCCTTCCTCCAGTATATTCCCTCCTAAGCTCTGTGGATGCCTGGATGGTTCTAAAGATTCCCATGAGTAGGAGAAAAAGAGACTGTACATTATCCCTACAATACAATATCAACTTCACAAAACCAAATACCAAGACTCTGTATATTTCCACCTTCACAAAACCAAATATCAATTTAGCAGTTATATTACATACAGTTTCTGCAAATTCAAGCCAGTACCAAAAACAGCATACTGTTCTCTACTGTAACTCTCATATGTTTGTATACTAGTCCAATCAGAGTATAGCTATCATTTATGATAAACTTAGCTGTTCCTAATGAATCCTTAATTGTTTTAGACTGTGTATAGCCGCATTGTCTGTAAAATAACCACTAACTAAATCTATTTCAATAACATGCTCCTATATCTAAGTTTGTGGATTACCACTAAAACATGTATCCAAGCTTTCTACTAGCTCATTCTTTCTGTACCAATTGTTCTAAATCACCCAATTCTACCTCACCTCCTTGCCACTCTCCCTCATTTTCAAATATCATCTCAATTTCCTCCAAAGACTTTCCTTTTGTTTCTGGTATGCATGTATGGACAAAAACAACAGAAACAGCTGAAATCACAGAAAAGATGAAGAAAGTCCCTCCTACTGTGATTGCACGAGACACTGAGAGGAAAGACATAGAAACCATACCACTACTAAGCCTGCTTCCAACTGCCCCAAGTGCAGCTGCCTGAGCTCGAAGTCTTAGAGTGAAGATTTCAGACGACACAACCCAACAAACAGGTCCGAGTCCTATAGAGAAGAAAGCTACATTACAACAAACTGACAAAATTGCCAATCCAATCCCAAGTTTTCCACCTCCTAAAAACATTAGAGAGAGACTCAGACCAAGTAAGCTGATGCTCATCCCAACTGTGCTCACAAAAAGTAAAGGTCTTCTGCCTGCTTTGTCAATAAGAAATATAGCTACCAAAATGAACATTGTTTTGGTAAACCCAACAGCAACAGTTGCAGCAAGAAGTTGAGTGTTGTCCTTGATCCCGGCATCCTTAAAGATTGTGGGGCTATAGTACACTGTTGCATCAATACCTGTAATTTGTTGGAAAAATTGGATTCCGCAGCCAGTGATAAGCATTCGTCGAACTGCAGGAGAAGGATTTATTATTTCACGCCACACAGCTTTTGCTTCACACTTTTCTGCATTAGCAGTCTCTGCAGCCAATTTTATCTCTGCCAATCTTTCCTCCACTTCACTTTCAGTTTCATTTGTCTTTGACAACACTAATCTTGCTTCTTCAATCCTATTCTGCATCACTAACCACCTTGGGGATTCAGGAATCACAAAAAGTGAAAACCCAATAAAGACTGAGGGAAGGATTCCTACAGCGAGCATTATCCTCCAGTTTATATGTACTGGAAGTCCTGAAAAAACATAGTTAGAAACATATCCTAAAAGTATTCCTATATTTATAAAAATTTCAGGGAAAGAGGTAAAACGTCCTCTGGCAACAGTGGGTGATATCTCTGCTATGTACACTGGCGCAATCATCACCCCAAAGCCTATCCCTATGCCAGCAAAGATTCTGCCTATCATCAGTATTGAAAAAGAAGGGGCAAGAGCCATTATAGCTGCTCCTGCCTGAAACACAATGGCTGCTAAGGCTATTGTCCACTTTCGACCGATGGCATCGGATGTTTTACCTCCAGCTAAACTACCCAAAAGTGAAATTATGCTTAAAATTCCAACAAGAACTTCTTCTTGTACCTCTGATATCTTTAGATCTTCTTGAATGAACAAAATTGCTCCACTTATGACACCCACATCTACAGAATGACAAGCAGACATTACAAACCAGAAATTAGAACTATATTCAAATGGCCAGTCAGCATTAATCGGTGACAACAGGAATAATTAAGAGGTCATGGCTATCGTCATAAATGAATTTAAACAGAAATCCCTTGAAACTCTTTGCATATTTCCTGATATTAGACATCCTCACTCACAAGGAATCTTGTTATGAAAATTACAGAACCAATTCTCTATTTTCACTCAAGTAAATCATGATTATGCCGACAAACTAGAGAAGTACTATTTACTTATATTTTATGAAATTACTGGTTCTTTAGATATCAAGTTTACCAGTCATCAAATCCCACAAAAATTCAATCTTTTCGCCCAGCTGAGCATTCTCTCCAATTAATTATTGACCAGTCCTTGTTCTACTATCTAATCAAACCAAAATTCCTACTTTATCTAATCATTTCCCTCCCCTCCCTTTAATAATATAAAAAATAATAAATAAATAAATAGAAACCAGACAAGTCAATCACATTGTACACAAAACAACAAAATCTGGAAATTGATCTGCATATGGGCTTTTCAAAAATAAACAAATCAGATAGAGACATCTACTACGTCAAAGGAGAAAAAAAATCTTAGACAGAATAACTAAAAGTGAAATAATAACAATGTTGGTATTGAAAATTAAGCAGATCCAACATATAACCGGAAACTAAATTGAAAATAGACCAACGGAGAGAGAGAGAGAGAGAGAGAGAGAGAGATGCGTGCTAATACTAACCATAGCCCATAAGCACAGAATTAAGAGAGGCAAAAACGGAACAGGCAAACACATATTTCTCTGTCAGATATTTCCTGTTAAGAACACCCTCTTGACATTGACGTTCGTTGGAATATATCAGATCCATTTCAGCATCGGAATCAAACCTCCTGTACTTGTTCTTGTCACCCATCCCATTTCCATTTTCCTGCACCCCCATTGCTCTTTTTTTTTTTTTATCAATATTATTATGAAAACGTATCTAATAATGGATTGTTCTCTCCTCTCTTTATTGTTGTCGTTGTTGTATAGAGAGAAAAGAAGCCGAAAGCCTTCTGTTTTAGCTGTGTTGATACATTCTGCATTTCATATCTGGCAGAGGGGACAAAGAAACTATTGAATTGAACGCGTTGGTGGTGTTCGGTCCTCGATCTTTGGAAAAGAAGGAACAAACGACAAGAAAATGACATTAAAAAGGACATAAGAAGTTAGAAGTGGGCCCTACATTAGCACGTGTCGATGTCTTAATGTAATTGGGTTCTACTTTGTCTTTTGCACAGGGAGCAACCGCTAACCGTAAGTCGTCGAACGGTTAGTGAATTACTTTATTCTTCCTGACTAATTGGTGGGTGGGGGGTTTAGACGTTAGAATTTGACCGGACTGGACTAGTGGACTATACGAGGGTAATTTACTTCAAACCGCGTCATTATGTATCCGTGGGATGGTATATTATTACGTTTTTGGCCCCTTCGAGAAAATAAACAGTTATTCAAATCCATGGACTCATAATTTTGTGAATTTTAATAATTTCTCAGAATGTTTATTTCTTTTCCCATTTTAATGCATAAATTTTAGAATTCTGATTTTTTTTATTAGTGAAACATAAAACAAACAACATACACACGTGGATAAGAATAATGAGATTCCTTCGGAAGTATGAGGTACCTTTTTTTTTTTTTTTTTTTAAAATGAAATCGGAAGTATGAGGTACCTTTTTTTTTTTTTTTGAAAAGTTAAAATGAAATATTTTTGTATTCAATTTTTTATTATGGAACATTAAAAGATTAATTATAAATATAAAAATCAAGTGCTAAATGTATATTTTCATATTAATTTAAATTAAAAATTCAAATATAATTTTAACGGATGCATAATTATAGTATCATGAACCTTATTTTGATTTTGTGGTAGTCTTATTTAAAAAAGATAGAGAAAAAGAAAAAAAAAAAAGGTTTCAAAATATCTACTTCTAGCTTGCCCCAAACTGAAGGGCCAGTTGTTGTACATGCAAGCCTGATGAGATCCATGATTTACTTCTTTGTATGGCCCAAACCGGCTGTAGTAGTTCAAAGCCCCAATAGGATTCAAGCATGGCCCAATATCAACTTTAGGAATGTAAGATGCGCACATTCAGGAACTTGAGCCGAGGAGAAAAATGGCTGTGTGGACTTGGAAACGACCTCAGTTCGGTTTCAAACTTCCCAATTTAGCCCAAACGTCTGTCGGCTGCATTTCACGTGATAAAAATCCCTGGGAAACGCTATCTGTTTCTTCCCCAAATTTGGCTCGTCGGCCACTAGCCATTTGCCATAGCCACTTCGCACTGTTCCCCCAAAAACCCTCCATTTCATTAGTTTCCTATTAAATAGGATACAAATCTCGACGAGCCCTCTCAGTGACCATGACCCGGTGATATACTCTTTCGTATCAAAACCGGTTCGTCTCCAATTGGCGATCTGGCGAACTCAAACCCTACCTCTAATAACGCCGTCGCTAGAAGTTCCCGGGAGAGCGAAGACGACGGTAGAAGGCGCAAGCAGAAGAGAACAACAAAGGTTGCCTCACGGGATCCCGACTCTTCTGGCCAACGCCAAACGGCAACGAAAGTGACGATGACGCTTCGGCTGCCGACGGTTGATGATTCTCCAAGGAAAGAACGGTGATCTCAACAGGTAATTTCGGAATATTTAGTTTTTTTCATTCTGTATAGTAAATTTTACTGTGTGCATGTATTACTTGAATGGAGGAAGAATTTCGCGGAAGATTAGTTTGACATCGTGGCTAATTGATTGGCTGAATTTAGTGGTTTATTTGTTATTTGACTTAGGAAATTAGCAAATATTTGCTGGAATACGAATTCTGATATATGACGTTTTATTTCACTTTTCATTTCCATTTTTCTTAGTTATTGTGTGTTAAATTTACATTAGTATTTTTTTTTTCAACTGTTGTCTGCAAACTTGTAGCCTTGGAGGCAAGTTGGTAATTGAGTTATTCCAGAAAAGCAGAGTTGGGCGATGGTATGGATGAGGAATTCAGGAAAGATCTTAGAAGTTTAGTTTCCAAGAAATTGCTGGTTCTGAGGTTATTGATTGTTGATTTTGTTTTGAGTAATTGGGGGCGTTAGCTTATTTCTGCAAATTTTTTTATGATTCCTGTGTTATCTATTTTTACTAGTGAGAACGATAAAAAAGCGAGTCTGCTCAAAAACGTTGACTCAAGAAAAAGGCCGACTCCAGACTCAGGAAGAGGAAGAAACTAGATAATCAACAGAAGGAGAAAGGCGTATCAACAAGAAGAAAAAGTAGGAACACTCTTCTGCTTAATGTTACTATTTATTGTGGCGGTTGATAGTAATTAATTATTGTTATATTCATCACAATAATAACACTAATTTTGTTTCTGTGTTTTCAGCTGTTGCGGCGAATGAAAAGATTGAGACTTAAACAGATTTGTTCAAGCCTAGATGTTGTTGAGGTAAGGTGGCGTATTTTGATTATCTGGCTATTTTATTATCCTTGATTCAACGTTTGACTTATTTTATGTTTATGGTTTTGAATATATGAGCCACTACTTTGCAGGTTTGGGATGCAACTGAGCAGATCCAAAGTTGCTAGTCTTTTTGAAATCCATATAGAAATTTATGTTCCTGTGCCAAGGGCATTGGTGTCAGAAAAGGAAATTTTTTGGCAGGTTAGCATATCCTTCTATAGTAATAACTTATGCATGATTGAGGGGGTGGTTGCATCATGATGAGATTTAGGGGAAAAGTGGTGAGGAATAAAGTCCAAAGGTTTGTCTGATACGTTATTATATTGTGATTCTTAGACAGGGGAGCGTCTGTGACAACATGGAGACAATGCGACTTGTATGTGTTTTTGGCAGAGGGGACTTGAATTATTTCTCTTTTAATATATATAATTTGCCTTACGGCTGGGCTGGGGTCATCCTATATATTCATATACCGTTTCTTTGCGATTTTGATGTTTGCTTTGATTGCCATCCTTCTTCAATGAGGCTTTCTATTGCATGTTTAACCATTATTGGGGATTTTTTCATTGTTTTAAAGTGCTAATTCATCTGCTTGAATTTCAGAGCCTTCCATTGTGCTAAATGGCTCGGGCATAGATTCGGTCTTAATTTAATATTAATTTTATTTTTTGAAGTGAAGTGACCTGGGTTGGGTTTGTTATCTCATCAGGGATCTTATGATTTGTATTTGACAGGGAAAGCGTAGGTATTGAGAACACCTTTTCGCTTTCCTTGATTTCATGCGCTGGCACAGGAATTGAGGAAAATTAGACAGGTTGTATATTTACGCTAACGATTTATATTATGCTTATCAATGGTTTAGGAAAAAAAAGAAGAAATTGTCATATTGCTCACCTTACCTTTTGTGCATACACTTGTTCTTGTGTGGAACTGGTTATATTCTACCTTAGCAAATGTATTTTTGCTTTTGAGCACCTCTGAGGCTTGGCTGCCATAGTTTCATACTGCTCAGCATTTATAGGTAAATTAACCAATATGCAAAATTGAATGTGGTATTTGGAACATTTATCCATCAAAACTATTTCGCTAGCAGTTATGCTTGTCATATCTTATCTGTGGTGATCTTTGTTGGATTCTTGGAGATCAAACTGATAAATTCATTTCTTTTTTCAATTTTACTTCATGAACCAGTTGTGAATGAAAATTAAAATTTGCTGCGTTTTCTTCTTTGTTGCAGGCTTACATTGAAAAAGAGGAACAGTAAGAAGTTGAAACAGAAGCACGCAGCGTATTGCAGCCAAGATGGGAATGGACATCGACTTATTCAGGTTTCCTATTACTTATCCTTAATCGTTTTAAATATGTGTTATTTGGTATATTTTACTTCTGTTTCATGTATACTCTGATAATCAATGGTCTGTTGATGTAGGGTATCTCCATGAATGCATTTTTTTAAATACCAAAACCAAACCAAAGCTAAACTACACATGGTGAATCTGTAATCATGAAGGGAAGGAATTTAGAGGTATTCACGGTCATTTTAACTTCTAGTGTTGTTACTTTATGCATGTTTGTTTCCACGCTATACTTATATTAATGAAATACAGAAATGCTTGGCCTATTGAAATCAGCTGCTGCTATTCAGATAGTTTTTGAAAATTGGAAAAATAACTTCCAAAATAAATATATTCAACTAGGTATTGAAATAATCTTGTGTCTAAAAGTTTAAAGTAGAAAAATCTGATGCATAATGGCTGATTTTAAAACCCGTGCTACGTACTGATGTGTATGGCACATCAACATGTGGCACAACATGCAAAGGGATATCGTAATCGTTGGCGGCTAAACATGCTAAGATAACTCTGCTTTAATTTAATAAAGAAAAAGTTCTCTGGCGAATTTGCAAGGTGTCCAACATTTTTTATGTATGAATGGTTAGTTTGTTGGTACATTGAAATTTTAGTGTTGGAAAACAATGCCTTGGTTAAAATTTAGTATACGGCTGTTGGTTTAAGTTACAAAAGAAAAAAATAGGCTGTTGGTATGTATTGTATCAGTTTCATGGTATGGATTTATGTTTTTCCATGTAGCTTTGCAGGTAAAGCTTAAGAGATGAAGCCAGGTACTCTTTCAAAAGAACTAAAAGATGCTCTTGTATGCCAGAGGGCTGCTCCCTCCTTTGGCTTATCAATGATTGCAGGTCAGATTAGCAGCATTGATACTCTTAGAAAACTTTCACTTTAAACTTGCGCTTCCCCTTCTATTTTGCTGTTCGTTTAATGTGGATTTGTTCTTGATACAGAGATATGGTCCCCCCCATCTACCCACCACCTGAAAATACCCTGGACCAATGGTCCTATTCCGCCTGGAGCTATGCTTGGTTTATCATCTGGTGGCTGGGGCAAGCACTTCCTGTTGATGAAGTAAGTTCTTGCTAAATTGTTGAATTAAGGATATGAAGCTTGCTGTAATCAATTGAACTGTTTTTGTTTGTGCATCCAAAATCCGGAAATCATTTTGCTTATTACTGCTTTGAAGAGCAGCATTCAGTTTGTAACTAGTTCACATTTTTTGTATTGTTAATTAGTATGAGCGTCCCTTTGTATGGAGGACGGTTTTTGGAGTTCAGCAACAAGAACAGCCCAATTATGAGGGGGTACTTTCTC